CTGATCCGCTAAGCCGCTAATGGGCTTGCTTCGCAAGACGAAAAAACCGCAAGACGAAGAGACTCGCGGAACAGATTCTTTTCGTCTTGCGAGGCACCACTGTATCCTGACTCTTCCAGCATTCAGGGTGTCACTGAGTTCTAGTGTCATGGGAGAGGTAAAATATTTCTCTCTCTCTCTTTTTTTCCTGGAGGAGACTGCGACCAAGATGGCGGAAGTGAAGCAGAAAAAGCAGCGTACTTTCTGGAAGTTCACCTCTCGGGGTGTTGACCCGGACCAGCTCCTCGACATGTCCTATGAGCAGCTGATGCAGCTGTACAGCGCCCGTCACCGCCGGCGGCTCAACCGCGGCCTGCGCCACAAGCAGCACTCCCTCCTCAAGCGGCTGCGCAAGGCCAACAAAGAGGCCCTGCCCCTGGGGAAGCCTGAGGTGGTCAAAACCCACCTGCGAGACACGATTATCCTTCCGGAAATGGTGGGCAGCATGGTTGGCGTGTACAATGGGAAGACCTTCAACCAGGTGGAAATCAAGCCTGAAGTGATTGGCCACTATTTGGGAGAGTTCTCCATCACTTACAAGCCCGTTAAGCACGGCCGACCTGGAATTGGGGCCACCCACTCCTCTCGGTTCATTCCTCTGAAGTAAGGGGATTTGGGAAGGCTTGTGTCTCGCGTGTAAATGAAAGGGTTTCCCAACAAAACAAAACAAAACAAAACAAAACAAAACTTTCTCTCTCTCCATGCTATGCATAGTTTTACAAACTTCTATCAAGTTGCCCCTTACTCACCTTTTCTCTAAACTCAAAAGCCCCCAAACTGCAACCTCTCTCTATAGGGGAGTTGCTCTGTCCCCTCCCTCTTCCAACCCTACAATATCCCTTTTGAGATGAGGCAACCAGAACCTCAATTTTAAGAAGGGCTCAGCCTCAGCCAAAGCATTCCCCACATTTTCCTCGGAACATCTCTTGCGGCACTTCGGGCCCAGAAGACTCTCTGGACGTCGCCAGGAGAAATCCAGCCCTGCGTGAATTAATAAGCATTCCGGGCTCTGGTTTCCAGTTGGCAAGTGGCTGGGATCATCCTGGGCAACCGGCGGCCTCCGAGCTCCCGGCTTTCTATCAGCCCATTGTTCCCCTGCGAACAATGAAGCGGCAGGGAGTGGGAGGGGCTCTGCAGTGGGAAGGGCTCTGCGAGCCGCCTTGGGGGCCATCTGGAAGACAAGCCTGGGAATCAAGAGCGTATAGGGTGGTCAATTGTTCTGGCTTGGCTGGGACGGTCTGGGGAAGATCGCCTTCGCGCCCCAAGTCAGCATGCAGCACCTGACAGAGTGCCAGCTTCCGAATGCGGATCCAATCGGCTGCGCATCTCGCGTACAAGCCTACATCGCAAGGTTGTTGTGTGGGCAGGATTAGATATACCTCTCCCATGCACTCAAATGCAATTTCATTGGAGGAAACATGGGGTGGAAACGCGATATTAAAAAATGAGAGTACAGCCTCTGCATTGGAGAAGAGGGGAGGAAAGGAGCCTGGTTTCTCCACATGCATAAGCTCTGAAGAATTCCATGCAGCTCAACGCCTGAAAAAGAAATTTCTGGAATTTCTTTTATACACTGCATACACTAAAAAACTTGAGGCTGGCTCCTGGTAACTCGGCATTTCTAGCATGTTCACCGCCCCCCCATCTTTAAAAGCAGATTAGACAAATTCATGGCGGATAAGGCTATCGAAGGCTGTGTACTCCCCCACTCTAGGATGAGGATTAACAAAAAAGGAGGGACGCGTGTGGAGGAGGGACGCGGGTGGCGCTGTGGGTAAAAGCCTCAGCGCCTAGGGCTTGCTGATCGAAAGGTCGGCAGTTCGAATCCCCGCGGTGGGGTGCGCTCCCGCTGCTCGATCCCAGCGCCTGCCAACCTAGCAGTTCAAAAGCACCCCCGAGTGCAAGTAGATAAATAGGGACCACTTACTAGCGGGAAGGTAAACGGCGTTTCCGTGTGCGGCTCTGGCTCGCCAGAGCAGCGATGTCACGCTGGCCACGTGACCCGGAAGTGTCTCCGGACAGCGCTGGCCCCCGGCCTCTTGAGGGAGATGGGCGCACAACCCCAGAGTCTGTCAAGACTGGCCTGTACAGGCAGGGGTACCTTTACCTTTAAGGCTATTGAAGGCTGTGTACTCCCCACTCCAGGATGAGGATTAACAAAAAGTAACTGGGATTCGCAGGCAGGGAGAGTTGTTGCTGCTGCACCTTTGGGGCATCTGCTTGGCCACTGTGAGAGAAGGAGGCTGGACGGGATGGGCCCTCTTTGGTCTGATCCAGCAGCCAGGCCCTTCTGATGTTCTTATGGCACCACAAGGTCCTAAGTAGATACCGCACAGTTTCCCAGTTCTGTCACAAAATCCCAGCGAACCCACCCCCTCACTTCCCCCTGGGCTTTATCAAGGGACCCCCGCATCTCTCAAATGCCCCACGCCCAAAGAACAGCAGCGCCAAGAGCACTCGGCAACCGCGTCTGACGCAAGCCCGAGTCTACGGAAAGACAGGGAAAGTTCTGGCGCATTAAGTATTCATTTGCTGCTCCGGCGATACTGAAATTCCACCCCAGAGTTTCTGCTCGGATGATCTCCAACAACGTGCGCCAAGGGGGTAGGAGAGAGAGAGAGAGAAAGGGAGAGTGAAAGTAGACCTCTTGGCTCGCCTCTGGCGGCTGAGTTCACGGACCAATGTTTTGCCAGATCGAGGGCTGGAAAGAGAGAGAGATCGCGGTCTGGCAGAGACAACCACAGCAGCACATCTGGACGCCAGAACAGGCACATCCAGCAGCACCGTAGAGGCCTGATGCATTTCAGCTCCCACTTGTCAATCACATGACGCCAAAATGATGTCACGTATTTGACACCAAATTTGGCCCCTGGAGGCTGATCCTGATAAGGATCTGGTCTGTGGAGCCAAAATAGGGTTCCCCACCCATGATTTAAAGCTCTCCAACTTTTGTTCCCCCGCCCCACAAGCATGGGAATCCCGAGGGTCTTTCACTATGTCCACACCCATTGAGATTCAGCAGCTGGTGTAGCATTGGGTATCCGCCCCCAGCACAATCTCTTTCCTCCACTTTTTAATTCTTTCACCAGTTTTTCTTCTTTAATAAAGGCAGACGGCAGAAAGGATCTTGCTCTGGGTCGGGCTGGGAGCCCGTTTTATTAATTATAATAAATGAGGGTGAGGAATGATGGGAGTTGTAGCCGAACATCTGAAAGGCACCACATTGGCTGCTCTTGAGAGTGTTGGACCGGCAAGACGTGGGTTTATAACCCTGCCTGGCCAGTTAGCTCTCTGCAGGACCTCTTAGGCCTAGCCTACCTCGCAGGGTTGTTGTGAGGGTCCACATGAAAGGATGGGGAAGAGCCACGTACTCATCCTGAGCTCCCTGGAAGAAGCTTGGGATTAAAAACCACAACACGCAGAACTAGATTGTAATTCCATGAATACCCCTGGATACATTTGTTCCCCTCTACTGCAAGGCTGGGGAACCTTCAGGTGTGGCTGGGACCCCCAGTTCCCTTCAGCCCCAGCTGCCAGCATAGCTAACCATGAGGGACGATGGGAGTGGCAGTCCAGGAACATCTGGAAGGCCACCGATGCTCGCCATCCCTGTCTCCTTAAAAAACCAAGAGGATTTTTGATGGGATTTCCCCATGGAACAGATAGGACCTTATGTTCCCTCTCTCTATCTCAGCCAAGACCTATCACCAATTTTGGCAAGGATAGCCAAGCAAATTAATACTCTGGGTTTCAAAGTTTCTTTTCTACACATTTGTTTGTTTCCAGAAAGAGAGAAATCACACCATCAACACCACTGGGTGGAAGAGAGAATTCATGGAGAGAACAAAATACCGGAGCCAAGACGGCTTTATCGACTGTAGAGGCGGAGCTAAAATTAGGTCCCACCCACTGTCCCATGGCACTGTCAATCAGTGGCTAGCCAGGGGCTAGAAGACTCTCCAGACGGTGAGCGCGGCTGCGCCCTGGGATTGCCATCTTCCCCATCACCCACCCCCAGGTCCACTTACCCCATTCCTCAGAGCGGGAGGCCTAGAACCTCACCCACATGTTCCCAGTACATCATATTAACGACACCGACTCCTGTAAGCATCTGCTTATCCAGCATGGCCTTCCCCAGATGTTTCAGGCTCACAGCTCCCATCAACCCAGCCGGCACCACTGGCCTGGAGCAAACATTACGGCTGGGAGCCTGAAACATCTGGAAGGTGTCATGGTGGGGAAGGAACACAAGAAGCTGCCTTAGACAGAGTTATACCCACAGTCCTGCCGGCATGCTGAACGGCAGCAGCTCTCCAGAGTTTTCAAGCAGGGGACGTTCTCAGCCCTACCTGGAGATGCCAGGGATGGAAACTGGGACACTCTGCACGCCAATCAGGTGTTCCACCCCAGGGACACAGCCCTTTCCCAAGGCTGCCCTAATACGTGGGATTTCCGATCGTAAGACCCTTGAGGAACAGGGTACATATATAAAAACTGTAAACACGGGATTGGAGTCCATGGTAGGTGATCAGGGCAACACACCTGTGCCCCCTGGCCTTTCTCTTTTCCTCTACCGCTATTGGGGGGACTGGTTGGCAATGCCCGATTACATCATCCCAAGAGATGCTCAAGATCAAGGGGTCCCTTGATAAGCAGCAGAAATGGAACCGCCCGGTCCCACGCTGGATCCACATAAAAGCTGGCAGCGAAATCAGGCTCAACTCCAAAAGGAGGAGGACAAGGCTGAGCCAGGAAAGCAGCCACAACCTGGTTGGCACATGTCTTACCTTATGCCCAGCTCTCTGGCACGAGAATGGCCTCTGCCTACCAACTTGCCACAGAGCCGGAAGCCCACCCTAGGCAGAATTTCCCCTCTCCTGATATGTTCGTTTTCACAAGGATTAAAAGCTGAATAACGGCGAAAAGGATAAACCCCCCCAGTAACCTATCCCCCTCGTTACCTCATCGTCGTTCTCCACTTTGGGGTTGCTGGCGGTCCTCTTCAGGTTGCTGCTGAGGTGGATGCCGACGGTGGCGTCCGACTTGGACCTCTGGTGAGTCCTTTTGGAGGGGGAGAGCCCCGCCTCGGGGGCCGGGCCGAGGGCCGGCAGCTCCCTCTTCCGGTGGGCCGGCTTGAGCTCGTCGGAGAGGATGAGCTTCCGCAGCTTGGTCCCGCGGGAGTGGCGCTGGGTGGAGATGTGCATGTCCGAGGAGTAAGCGCCCAGCAGGAGGGCGCACTGCAGGGAGAAGTTGATGCTCTGCCGGCAGCGGTGGACGATGTAGGGCTTGATGGCGTCGCCCACGTCCTCGTCCATGTGGATGTACATGTTCAGCAGCTGCGGCAGGTAGAAGTCCACGTCCTCGTTGCGGAAGCAGAAGAGCCGGTTCCCAATGTAGGCCTGCACGCCGGGCTCCTTCGAGTTGTACAGGTACGAGATCGCCATGGAGATGTCAAAGAGCTTCGACTCAAACAGGCGCAGCAGCCACGACTGCTTGGCCGAGTTGTTCTTCTGGCGCCGCCGGGCGCTCTTGACCGAGTTGGCCGCGTGCTGCTGCTCCTCCTCCTGGATCTTGTCCGGAGGGTCGTCCAGGCACTTGATCTCGCAGCACTCGCCGGGGCTGCCGTTCAGCAGGGCCAGGCCGGGCCGGCGAGCCGCGCCTGCGCTGCCGTCCTTCAGCTGGATGGACCCGTCAGGAGAGATGCAGTGCATCAGCTTGACCTTCTCCAGCACCTCCTCGCAGGCCTTCTTGGCCACCTCGGGGTCAATGACCGCCAGCTCGCCCACGCCTTCCGTGATGACCCCCAGGGCCGCCACCCCGCCATTTCCTGGGGGCGGCAGCACCGCTGCGGCCAGCGCCTCCTCCTCCTCTTCCTCCTCCCCTGGCGGTGGCACGTCTGCGTCGGAGTCACTCATATCCAAGGCGGGTCTGTGCTCTTTCAAAGCTGGAAAGCAAACCGGGAGAGGGAATTAAAAGAGAACGTGAGCACATCAGACAGCCTGGGAGCACAGAGTGCTGGCCTTACGCAGGTGTTCTCTCTATGAGCTTGCGTCCTTCCCCAAAAGGCAAACTAAGACTCTAGTCCTCATGGTTGCAAATAACGGTCTGGTTTAATAGGTACATCTGGCTCAGTATTGACTACACTGACTGGCAGGGGACATTTCCAGCCTTGCCTGGAAACGCTGCAAGGGATTGAACCCGGGACCTTGTGCACACAAAGCAGATTATCGCTGAGCTGTGGTCCTGCTAAATACAGCCTGTATTTTAGTGCTTAAAAACAAACAAACGGACGATCCCGTTTCACATTCCGCCACCAAGACTATGGTTATTCATAGAAAGAGGATTCTTTTGCAGCAAATACAGGCTGGAAAAAGGCCACAAGATTGCTAGTGCATAGACCTATGCCAGTCCTCTGTAGCCTAAAAAAAGGGGGAATGAGTGCCAATGTTCCTCCTCCTTGGTCACCAGAAACAACTTCTGACTCACCACAGGTGACCAGCATTTTGACAAGGCTGCCTAAAGCGAATTTGCTTTCCCCCTTGATGAGAGAGACTGTGGCCCAATGTACAGAGCGCGGCTAGGATTCAAATCCCACTTTTGCTACCCATTCTTAAGGTAGAAACAAACCCTTCTCCCATGCAGTATCAACGCTATTGATACTATTGGTTTCCTGAGTTTTCACTGTGGCTCTTTCCTTTGGCCAGAGGTGGTCACCTTGGGCTGAACCCGGCCCAAGAACCCTGGGTCACCAGTTCAAGGCCTGCTAGTGACCTCCAGTCCTGACGCCATGGCAGAAGACGGCAGAAGCTTCTTAAAAAATTAACTGCAGAGCATAAAGAGGCTCCCCTCCTTTTTTTACCGCTGGCCACATACATGTGCTTAAAGCTTCTCTAACCTCTGGGAAACCACCAGAGACTCCTGGAGTGTGGAAGGCAGGGAGAGAGTGAGAATACATCTCTCACGATGTGGGCAGAGGCTGTGGGCTGCTACCTCTTCACAACTGCTCTGGTTACGAATGCTTCAGGGTACGAACTCCGCTAACCTGGAAGTAGCTGCTCCTGGTTGCGAACTTTGCCCCAGGATGTGAATAAGAATTGCACACCAGAAGTGCGCTCACAACGGGAGGCTCCATTAGCGAAAGCACGCCCCAACATAAGAACAGTTTCAGCTTAAGAATGGACCTCCGGAACAAATTAAGTTCGTAACCAGAGGTACCACTGTATCCTTCTTTCCATCCTGCCACCATCAGAAGCACATTTGGTGGGAGAAGGCAGGCCTTTTTGGTGGTGGCTCCCTGGCTTTGAAACTCCTTCCCTAGAGAAGCCAGACAGACACCCTCTTTGCTGTCCTTCAGCCAGCAGGTGGATACTGTTTTATTCCAACAGGTCTTCGGGAACTGCCTGGATTTTAAATAGTGCTGTGATGAATTTACTATCTATATTTTAACATATCTGTTTTGATGTTGCGTTAATTCTATTATGCTTTAATTTATTTTTACTATTATTTTTTATATGTTTTCAGTGTCCTGTATTTTATCTGTGTTGTTTTAATTTGTGTACGCCGCCTGAAGTCTCAGTATGAGAAAATGGTGGGATGTAAAAAAATGAATGTAGTAATTTTGGTCCCAGAGCAGCCTTATGAAAGCAGCTGCGCCGTTTTGGAATCTGGTGACTCAACTTGTGGCCGTCCCAGAACTAAGAATGTTGCCTGTGCAGCAAGAAGGTGCTGTTTAAATACTAAAATCTCCCCCACTGCTCCGTAGATCCAGCACAGGTCCACCACATAGGTCGTACCAGACCCGAGAAGTCGTTAACAGGATTAGTTTAATGGTACTGGAAGGGGAAAAGCATGTAGGCTGACAGGCAGCAGTCTCTGTTCGCTGCAAGTGTCTAACGAATCTGTAGTCTAGCGGCTTACCATTTCGATTTCCTGGTATGAGCTGCGTGCACTTTACTGACTGGACCCAGCCCTGTCAGCAAGAGCCTCTGGTGGCGGCATAGTGGTTAGTGTCAGACCAGGACCTGGGAAAGAGCAAGGTTCAAATCCCCCCACTCTGCCTCATGAAGCTCACTGGGTGTGTCTTTGGGGGCAAGTTGCTACCTCCCTCAGCCTAACCTGCCTCATAGGGTTGTGCCAGGGATTAAATGAGATGGGCAGGGGAGAACCACATAACCACTTCGAGCTCCTAGGATTAAAAAAAAAAAAAGGTGAGATATGAATGCAATGAATAAATGAATATTATAATTAATAATAATTTGATTTATTGCCCGCCTTTCAAGCTAAGGTTCCGGGGCAGGTTGCAACACTTTGAAACGCAGCATTTAAAAAGTTCTAAACAAATTACAGCAACAGGTTAGGTCTGGGGTCAGCAAACTTTTTCAGCAGGGGGTCGGTCCACTGTCCCTCAGACCTTGTGGGGGGCCGGACTATATTTTGAAGGGAAAAAATGAACTTGGGCAACACGTGGAGAAGTGTCAAGAGCGCCAAAGGACAGGTGCAGATATAGAGGCAGGTGAACCGAACGCAGGTGAAGGAAGTGGGAAGATCTGGGCAGGATGGCAGTAAGCCCAGAGGAGAGGATGGAGAGGCCCCACCTGAGTCTACTGAGAGCCACAAATCTATCAGGCAAATGAATGGATCCGTGGCAAGCAGAAGTCAACAGCTGGCTACTGACTGAAGCCAGAACCTGCGAGTCCCTGGGATGCAGAAAGCTCCCAGCACCAACTCAGACCCTAGAGTCCAACTCAGCTCAGTGCTGCTGACACTCAGTGGCAGAGTCTCTCCAGTGGTTTAAAAAGGCAGTCTTTCCGAGGTGCCACAGGGCTTTGAACCCGGGGCCCTCTGCATTCGGTGCAGGTGCTCACTGCTGTCCTTCCCCAAAAGATAATTCGATGGCAAAAAGTGAGGAGGAATTAAAGAACCTTTTAATGAGGGTGAAAGAGGAGAGCGCAAAATATGGTCTGAAGTTCAACATCTAAAAAACGAAGATCATGGCCACTGGTCCCATCACCTCCTGGCAAACAGAAGGGGAAGAAATGGAGGCAGTGAGAGATTTTACTTTCTTGGGCTCCATGATCACTGCAGATGGTGACAGCAGCCACAAAATTAAAAGGCGCCTGCTTCTTGGGAGAAAAGCAATGACAATCCTAGACAGCATCTTAAAAAGCAGAGACATCACCTTGCCAACAAAGGTCCGTATAGTTCAAGCTATGGTTTTCCCAGTAGTGATGTATGGAAGTGAAAGCTGGACCATAAAGAAGGCTGATTGCCGAAGAATGGATGCTTTTGAATTCTGGTGCTGGAGGAGACTCTTGAGAGTCCCATGGACTGCAAGAAGATCAAACCTATCCATTCTTCAGGAAATCAGCCCTGAGTGCTCACTGGAAGGACAGATCCTGAAGCTGAGGCTCCAAGACTTTGGCCACCTCATGAGAAGACTCCCTGGAACAGACCCTGATGTTGGGAAAGATGGAGGGCGCAAGGAGAAGGGGACGACAGAGGATGAGATGGTGGGACAGTGTTCTCAAGCTACCAGCATGAGTTTGACCAAACTGTGGGAGGCAGTGGAAGACAGGAGTGCCTGGCGTGCTCTGGTCCAGGGGGTCACCAAGAGGCGGACACGACTAAACGACTAAACAACAAATAGTCCTCATGGCTGCGAATAAAGGGCTGATTTAACAGGAAACCACAGAAAGATGCCTTTCACAGTGTCAGCCCCTTGGTCGCACTGGCTGAGTATTGTCTACACAGACGGGCAGTAGTTCTCCAGGGCTTCAGGTAAGGAGCCTGTCCTGGAGATGGCGGGGGCTGAACTTTCTGCATGCTGAGCAGATGCTCTGGCCCTGAGCGTCATCCCTTCCCTTGTGATCTTCAAATGTTAAGAGTCACTGCAGCAGAGCTATGCTTCCTCACGTGCCCAGAGATTAACACACACACACAGAGCGCAGAAGAATTAATCCCCTTCTTTCCAAAAAGGGAAGCTTTCACTTAGAGGAGTTTCCTGCCAATAACACTCCCAAATTCAAAGCGCCACACAAGAGAGGATTTGCAGCCTGCGAAGAACACGCTAGCAGGTCACAGGGTCCGAAATGAAATGACTCCCTTCTAATTAAAGGATGGAATGAATACCCAGTTTTATCTGCTTAGCGTGTGATGTAACCACTGGAAGGTGGGGCCATGGGCACGGCCGGCTTCTCTCATCAAAAGCCCCAGAGGAATTTTGCCTTCTATGATCTTTTGTCCCTCTCCCCCTCTCCCACACCAATGCTTAAAATAAATGTGGAGGAGCTGCTGCTTTCAGGGGACTCAGGTTAATCCAGGGACTAGCACCAGGGGTTTGGTAGTCCAGGATCCACGACTGCAGCAGCTTTCCAAAGTAAACAAGCCCAATCAGAGAACCCATCCCACAGCAACTTCTACCACAGAACCCTGCAGAGAAGCCTTACCTAGCCCCCCCCCCCCGCTATATCATATTTATATATCCGTTTCCTCAAGGGCTCTCTTGCAAATCTTTACAACAGCCCTGCAAGGCAGGGCAGCGTCATCATCCCCACGTTTTGGGGGGATTTGGCAAGGAAGAGAAGCAGTTTGCTCATGGTCACTCCCCAAATTCGCAGCTCCTCTTTCGTAGGAAGCAGGAGAGAACCGGGGAGGGGGAATTCCAGCAGGGAGTTTGTGCCTGAGGCCAAGAGCCAATTAGCTCTCCACTGCCAGAGGATGAGGCAGCTCAAGATCTCTCAGGGGATTCCCACACAGGCCCTCCTGTCACATTTAACCACATTTTTCTTCACCTTGCTCATCTGAGTACTCAAAACAGATTGTGCTTTAAATATATACAGTGGACGCTCGGGTTGCGATTCGGCGCTTCTGCACATGCGCGACCGCCGAAACCCGGAAGTAACCTGTTCCGGTGCTTCCGGGTTTCGGTGGTCCGTAACCTGAAAAAACACAACCTGAAGCGCTGTAACCCGAGGTATGACTGTACAGTGGTACCTCGGGTTAAGAACTGAATTCGTTTCGGAGGTCCATTCTTAACCTGAAACTGTTTTTAACCTGAAGCACCACTTTAGCTAATGGGGCCTCCCGCTGCCGCCGTAGCATGATTTCTGTTCTCATCCTGAAGCAAAGTTCTTAACCCGAGGTACTATTTCTAGGTTAGCGGAGTCTGTAACCTGAAGCGTATGTAACCCGAGGTACCACTGTATATATCTGAAGGGGGGGTGACAGCATAGTCAATGGGCTGTACCCAGCTAAATTTTACTCCAAGTAGACCCACTGAAATTAATCACCCTTGCTTAGTCACACGAACATTCATTTTGACGGGTCTTTGCATCGGAGGCAACCTGATGCAAAACACAAAGTTAAGGATGTGAAACCATCCAAAAGGAGTTAGGAACATCAGAAGAGCTGCTTTCTGGATCAGGCCAAGGGGGCCCATCTAGCCCGGCATCCTGTTCTCACAGTGGCCAACCGGATGCCCCAACAGGAAGCCCACAAGTGAGATCGGACTGCCGCGGTATTCTCCAATTGTCATTCCACAATATCTGGTATTCAGAGGTAGATTATCCCTGGGCATGGAGGTTCTGCTATCACAACAGACCTCCGCAAGGATAGCCCTGCTGGATCAGGCCAATGGCCCATCCCAGGGGCCTGTGGGAAACTCACAAGCAGGACCCGGGTGCAAGAACCCTTTCTCCTCCCGTGGCTTCCAGCAACTGGTATTCAGAAGGATTACTGCATCCGACCGTGGAGGCAGCGCACAGCCATTGTGACTCGTGGCCTTCTCCTGTATTCGTCCAAAGCTCTTTTACAGCCATCCAGGAGAGCTAAACTTAAAAATAAATATTATTATATTGCTTTAAAGAGCTGTCCTAGGCAATGGCTGCACCCCGTGGCAGAGGATTAGCGATCTCTCCAAGTTAATTACGTTTTGCATGGAAGCTGGGATTGTGGAACCAGCCCAGATAGCGCTAGGATAAGCTCCAGACATCTGGTGGCTATTAAACGGTGTTACTTTCCTCCCCAAGGCTGAGCGTTTTGCAGAATTTGCTGCCCACCCACCTCCCAAGGACAGAACACGTGGCTCTCGTTGAAGCTTCGCTTACGAGGCCTACGTTAAGCACCGCAACCTCCCCTCAGCCCCCATCCCTTCTCCGACTCCATGTCAAGAAATCGCTTCAAAGGTCAAGGAAAGCAGGCCTAGCCTGAAGTCAACAACAAGAAAAGCAGGGACTTTGGGGTGGGAGGGCAGGTGAAGAACAGGATTACACCTGCCTATGAAGCCAGCACCAATCCAGACCTAAATTAAACAGGGCAGTTGGGAAAACCCCCACCATCTTTCAAGCATGGGACTCTTCTTGCCGTAGAGGAAAGACTCGCTGGACGGGAATTAGGCTTTTTCCACAGAGGCCGAGCCAAGGAAGGCTAAAAAAATAAATTAAAAGTCTCCTGTCCGGTCAGCCCAAAGCACTACGGACGCGTCAAAAACTTGCACACTCTGATAGATTCTGGCAGCTGCAGGAAGGGTCACTCAGTCCTCTGAATCAACCCCAGGCCCCTTGTGCTGATGCTTTGCATAAATACCAAGATTCTAGTCCTCACTGTTCAAGGTCCTGGCCTGTAATCTCCTCCCCTCCCTTCCCAAGACACCTCCATGCTCCCTCCAGTCTTCACAAGTCAACAATTTCTTACATCTCTCTCCTTGGTTGCTGTCCTCTCTTCCTTCGGCCAGGAATTCTACAAGGGTGCTGCTGGTGGGGGGAGTGTCACTGCAGAGAAGGCTCTGCTCTTGGAAGCTGCCACCAAGGGCAGAGAGCAGGGTATCTGAAGAGGGCCTTAAAGGACACAAGAGGACATGATTGGAGGTGGTGCGTCTCTGGTGTGACCTCTGGGCTGTTTTGGGGCTTTAATACAGGGGTGGAGATCCTGTGCGCGTCAGGTGTTGCAGCATTCCAGCTATCATAATCATCATCATCCCCCCTGACCACACTGGCTCTTAGGGCTGATGGGAGCTGAGAGCCCAACCACAGGATGTGGAGAGCCACAGGTCCCCACACCCCTGCTTTAAAAAGCTCAAAGCCCAGACCTTGAACTAGGCCGGGAAAATAATTTGGAAGCCTGTAATCCTGGAGAGGCTAATAGTCACGATGCTGCATGCAACCTCCACTTGCAGAGGCAGTCTACCACTGAAATGCCAGAGGCTGGAGGCACATACCGGGAGAGGGCTTCTGAAATAGGTAGGGCCCCATATGCCCTATAATTCCACTTTAAACAGCCGTGGCTTCCCCCAAAACACACTGCGAACTGGAGTTTGTTCAGGGTGCTGAAAATTATTAGCAGGAGTCCCTTGTCCCCCCTCACAGAGCGGCAATTAATAGAGCGGTTTAACAATCCATCCCTCTCTCTCTGGGAATTGGAAAATATAGCTGCAGCAAGGAATCCTGGAACCTGTAGTTTCCTGAGGGGACCAGGGCTCTTCCTGTTAGTCACCCCTAGCTCCTCCAAAGAACTAACATTCCCAGGATGCCTTACGCTTGGGGGCCGCAGCAGCAGGGAAACGGGCTCTTGCAAACCACCTCCAAACGGGTTTGCGCAAACAAGTTTTAAACCAGGTTTTGCAAACTGAAAAATGATGCAAACGATAAGACAGAAAGGGGGGGGGGAACCCTTCCATGTCTTGCTAATGAGGGGTGGTTAAACTACCCTGTCAGCTGTAAAGGGAACTGAGGCTTGCGCCTAACAACTTTAAGCACCCTGAACATACTACAGCTCCCAGGATTCTTTGGGGGAAAGCCACAATGGAACAAAGTGGTATGATAGTGACTGAAATGAAGGCCCTAGATTTCTACCCAAGAAGGCAGTGATCCCAGGGAACTTTGCAACTTCAACAGGGGGCGGGAAGGAGCAGACAGCTGAACTTGTGCAAGGGCAATTTAGCAGGATGAGTATACTTTTTTTTTTTTTTAATGTACACACACAAAGAGGCAAGTCTGAACCAAGCCACTGAGTCACACGGAGATGGTGGCAACTGCCGGGGGTTTGCTTCTGAAGCAGCGGCGACAAGAGTCATCGCTCCCAGAGTTCTTGCAGGCTGGAATATCACAGCCATGTGCTCACATACACACAGAGGGCCACGAGCGCTGGAAAACCACTTTGCCATCCCACACCATTCTGTCGCAGTTGACTCACCCGCTTCGCAACCACCTGCCTGCGCTGGGCGATGAATGATGCTGGTCTACCTTACAGGAAGGGCGGGGCATATCGGAAGTCTTTCGCTGGACTCCAACTCCCAGCAGCCAGCATGCCCAAAGGACAGGGAGGATGGCGGGAGATGTAGTCCTGGAGGGACACAGCCTCCTCACCCGTGCCTGACAGGATTGCTGTGAGCAATGAAAGGGGGTTGGACTAGATGACCCCTCAGGTCCCTTCCAACTCTGCAGTTCTATGTGTCTGTGATTAGAGAGGTAATTTGCCCAACTGATCTAAACTGGGGAAAGGCGGTAGCTCAGTGGTAGAGCACCTGCTTTGCATGCAGAAGGTCCTGGGTTCAATCCCTGCCATCTTCGGGCAGGACTGGGAGGGACTCTGTCTGAAACCCAGAGAGATGCTGTCTGCCAGCATAGACAATACAGAGCTACATAAACTAAGGGTCTAAGTATAAAGCAGAGTCCTAAGTCAAATCTTGGATCATGACCATGAGGACTGGAATCTTAGTATTAATTTTAAAGCTAGTGACATAGGGCACCCGCTTTACATGCAGAAGGTCCCAGGCATTTGGAGGTAGGACTGAGAGAGGAGAGCTGCTGCCAGTCAGTGTAGACAATATGGAGCTAAACAGACCAAAGGTCTGACTTGGTAAAATATGTTATTATTAATAATAATACCTCTCCTCCCGTTACATATCTTTAGCTGCCAGGCAAAAACATTCCTCTTAAGTCTTTGGCCAATTAACCGTGCGCGCTCTCTCTTTCTCTTTCTATATAAAAATATATATTGGCCAAAGACTTAAGAGGAATGTTTTTGCCTGGCGGCTAAAGATATGTAACGAAGGTGCCAGTCGAACCTTTCTGGGGAGAGCATTCCATAAACAGGGAGCCATCGCAGAAAAGGCTCGTTTTCATGTGGAGAAGGCACACAAAGGCGGCCCTCAAATGACGGTCGCAGGATCTAAGGCGGTTCATATAGGGATAGGCAGTCCCTGAGCTCTTGTGGTCCTGGGCCGTTCAAGACTTCTTAAGTCAAAGCCAGCACTTTGAATTGGGCCCCAAAGCTAATTGACAGTCAGTGCAGTTGGACCAGGACCAGTGTAATATGCTCAAACCGTCTTGCCCCATCGAGCAACCTGGCCGCTGAAATCTGCACCAGCTGAAGTTTCCGAACTGCCTTCAGAGGCAGCCCCATGTAGAATGTGTTGCAGTAATCTAACCTAGAGGCTACCAGAGTACAGTGGTACCTCGGGTTACATACGCTTCAGGTTACAGACTCCGCTAACCCAGAAATAGTACCTTGGGTTAAGAACTTTGCTTCAGGATGAGAACAGAAATCGTGCAGCAGCAGCAGCAGCACAGGAGGCCCTATTAGCTAAAGTGGTGCTTCAGGTTAAGAACAGACCTCCAGAACAAATTAAGTTCTTAACTCGAGGTACCACTGTACAGATGACAGAAATTAGGCTAGCCCTGTCCAGATAGGGGCGCAGCTGGGCAAGCAGCCAAAGCTGATGGAAGGCATTCCATGCCATTGAGGCCAGCTGAGCACCCCCAAGCTGCGTACCTGCTCCTTCAGGGGGAGTGTAACCCCCTAACAGAGCCTCAGTCTTATTTGGACTGAGCTTCAATTTGTTGGCTCTCATCCAGTGCATAATGTATTTTTAATCTTTGTTGGAAGCTGCCCAGAGTGGCTGGGGAAGCCCAGCCAGATGGGTGGGGTACCAATAATAAATTACTATTACTATTATTATTACTGAGGCAAGACAACGGTTCAGCTCATCCACTGACACACCTGCAGATATAAAGGAGAAGAAGAGCTATGTGGCATCAGCATATTGCTGACAACGTACTCCAAAATTCTGGATGACCCTACTCAGGTTTCATGTAGATGTTAAAACAGCATGGGGGATAAAACTGAATCCGGAGGAACTCGACATTGAAGGCTCCGCGGCGCCAAAGAGCCCTCCCAAAGCATCACCCTCTGGAAACAACCACCCAAGTAGGAACGTAACCACTGCAAAGCAGCGCCCCCCCCACCCCTAAATTGATAGCTTCCTGTGTTCCTCCTTTCGGGGAATATGGTATAGTAATCCAACAATATCTGGAGGGCATCAGGGTGGGGAAGGCTCACATGCACAGAGTCCTCTGGGTGTTTCAAACTGAATGCCTAAACACAAACCACTGCTGCTCCAATTTAAAAGCAAGAACAAAGTATTTTGGCAACTTCAAAAGATGAATGGTTTTTTTGTGTGGCATAAACTCTTGCAAAGTACGGTAGGCAATACAAAAGTGTTATATTGAGCTACGCAGTGGACACGGGTTGCGAACGTGATCCGTGCGGGAGGCACGTTGGCAACCTGCAGCGTTCGCAACCCGCAGCGCCACGCCTGTGTATACGCAGGTTGTGATTCTGCACTTCTGCGCATGTGCCGAAACCAGTAAGCAACTCCAGTACTTCCGGGTTCAGCACAGTGCGCAACCTGAAAACGCGCAACCTGAAGCGTCTGTAACCCGAGGTATGACTGTATGCAGTTTCAGGAGAGGGGTGAGAATTGTAAGCGGCAAGGTCAGAGGCAAATGAAATGCAGAGGACGGATAGTGGTAACTTGGACCTAGGAACGGAAGAGGGGCACCTGCTGGAGCCCATCTCATGCAGAATCCTTTTCTCACAGCAGCCTGTGGGAAACCCACAAGCAGGATGCGAGCCCAAGAGCCCTCTCCGCTCCTGCAGTTTCCAGCAGCTGGTATTCAGAAACATTAATGCCCCAGATCATAGAGGCAAAGCATACGCATCATACGCAGCCAACACTAGAAAACGCAGGGTAACAATTCACGCCTCTGAAGGATGCTTGTGCCACAAAATTAAGAGACGCCTGCTTCTTGGGAGGAAAGCAATGACAAACCTAGACAGCATCTTAAAAAGCAGAGACATCACCTTGCCAACAAGGGTCCGTATAGTTAAAGCTATGGTTTTCCCAGTCGTGATGTATGGAAGTGAGAGCTGGACCATCAAGAAGGCTGATCGCCGAAGAATGGATGCTTTTGAATTCTGGTGCTGGAGGAGACTCTTGAGAGGCCCATGGACTGCAAGAAGATCAAACCTATCCATTCTTAAGGAAATAAGCCCTGAGTGCTCACTGGAAGGACAGATCCTGAAGCTGAGGCTCCAAGACTTTGGCCACCTCATGAGAAGAAAGAGAAGACTCCCTGGAAAAGACCCTGATGTTGGGAAAGATGGAGGGCACAAGGAGAAGGGGACGACGGAGGACGAGATGGTTGGATAGTGTCTTCGAAGCTACTAGCATGAGTTTGACCAAACTGCGGGAGGCAGTGGAAGACAGAAGTGCCTGGCGTGCTCTGGTCCATGGGGTCATGAAGAGTAGGACACGACTAAACGACTAAACAACAACAACAATTCATGTCTCTGAAGGATGCTTGTGCCACAATAAGTTTGTTAGCCCTTTAAGGTGCCGCAAGGCTCTGTCCTTCTTAACGCAAGAGATAGCTGCACCCTCTGGAAAGGATGACAAAAGTAACTAAACCGTGAGAAGGGAACAGCAGTACCAGCACAGGACACAACAGGCACCCAGGCAGGGTGTTTCATGGGAACCTCAGGGAAGCCCTTCAGCTCTGCTGGAAGACCAGCTCCATCGTGCCTCTTCTCCCCTCAACACCCACCTGGAAGGAGCCTCAGCCAGCCAGGTTAGAAAGCAGCGCTCGTTCTGTCGCCTCCACAGAAAGACCAGCTCCATCAGGAGCCTCCTAGCCCTGAACTATTCCCATTAAATAGAACTGCTATTTAAACATTTTAAGAATCTGTGCCTGAGTTTCCCTCCCTGCCCCTCTTCCCTTTTGTGCCATGCCTTTTAGATTGCAAGCCTGTGAGCAGAGACTGCCTTGTTTTAACCAGCCATTCTGGAAGCCTTTTCGTGTGTCACCGGTGCTGTAAATAAACAGGCTGCTGAGGGCCCCCAGTTTCTTACTGGCAAAGAGGCTGGAAGAAGTAGGGGTGTGTGTCTGCTTCGGATTGGAGCACAAGATAAAAAGGGAAGGAAACAGCCCAGACTTGAGAGGTAAGAAAGAAGGAAATCGGATGCGGGGCAATCTCTAGCCTTCCAGATGTTGCTGAATTACAACTCCCATTAGCCCCGGCAAGGACGGGCAAAGGTCAGGGATCATAGAATCATAGAGTTGGAAGGGACCCTGAGCAGTTGTCCCACACAGGGATTGAACTTGCAACCGTGGCATTAGCAGTGCCCTGCTCTAACCAACTGAGCCATGAGGGTGGCGGTACTGCAGCAACAACTGGAGGGCCAGAGGTTCCCCCACACTTGCGGTTAATCATGATTCCCGCCTCCTCTTCTTGAAAACCCAAGAATTGGGAAGTACTAGCCCGATTGGAGCTGAGGCTCCAAGACTTTGGCCACCTCATGAGAAGAGAAGACTCCCTGGAAAAGACCCTGATGTTGGGAAAGATGGAGGGCGCAAGGAGAAGGGGACGACAGAGGATGAGCTGGTTGGACAGTGTTCTTGAAGCTACAAACATGAGTCTGACCAAACTGCAGGAAGCAGTGGAAGACAGGAGGGCCTGGCATGCTCTGGTCCATGGGGTCACGAAGAGTCGGACACGACTAAACAACAACAACAGCCCGATACACCACAGAGGAGGCCCATCATGCATGCCCAGAGAAAGAGGCCCGTCCACCACTCACCTCTCTCGTGCCCATCCAACCGGGCAGCTTGCCCCTGCTGAGACGCTCGCCCACAATGCCAGCCGAGTCAGCCATCTTTGGAGATGGGGACTCAAAGGGATTCTCTGCGATGATCCTTCACGGCTGTAGGGAAGAAAAGCGAGATGCGTTGGGAGGGGAAATGGAGGAAACGTCTCGCTCAACCTTTCAGTTTTAAGGCAGGGGTTTTTGGTCTGCTTTTTAAACACAGCATCTCTCTCTCAAACACTGAAATACCAGGAAGGTGTTTGCAGAAATCTGGAGGGATGCCACGCATCACTTCATGTTCAAAAGCACGGTCCATTTTTGAAGGGGTGAAGGGTAGCGTTCATCCTTGAAGACTGCAATACAGTGGTACCTCGGGTTACATATGCTTCAGGTTACATACGCTTCAGGTTACAGACTCCGCTAACCCAGAAATAGTACCTCGGGTTAAGAACTTTGCTTCAGGATAAGAACAGAAATTGTGCTCCAGCGGCGCGAGGCCCCGTTAGCTAAAGTGGTGCTTCAGGTTAAGAACAGTTTCAGGTTAAGAACGGAACTCCGGAACGAATTAAGTACTTAACCCGAGGTACCACTGTATCAGAACTTAAGCTGGTATACACATTCAGGACACTATGGTTCAAGTGCAAAGCCTGGCTCAAATCCTGTGCCTGTTCTCACAAGGGGGAAAGGTGGGCAGGGATATAGGGATGTCAAAACAATCATAAACTTGGGGGGTAGGTTTATAAGACAATCTGAAGTGGAAATGCTTGGAAGAGGAGAGGTGGAAGAGGCAGAGAAACTGCAAAGTAAGAATGTAATTGGAATCGGATGTCTCTGAAGCTTAGAAAAGCTCACTCAGCACCGAGAGCTGCAAAACCAGCAAGGACTCAGAAACGCTCTGAGGACCATTGGCAAACTTGCTCTGACTCTCCTTTCCCCACACCACAGGCAAAGCCGCATCTTCCCGTCCCTACAAGGAAGCGAGTGTATAATTAAAAGAGCTTTTAAAAGAGAAACTTGCTCCTTGGCAACTCAGCGAGGAGGGTGAAAAGGACTCTGAAAAATCCCAGAGAAAGTGGGGTGGGGAAGAGGGAAAAGGTGAGGTGTTAAAACCCCAGCACTCCTTAACATTAAGAACAAAAAATGGCAGTCTTGAGGAGTTGTGGGATACAACTGGTGTGGAAATACTCCTGCAAAAAGTTACTAGCCTCCCAAATATGTTTTGTTTTAGAAGAAGTCGTCTGATTCAAACCATAGAAGCCGCTGCATGACATTAACGTTACAGATAAATGGGTCAGAGGTAACAGAGGAGCAATGGTGAGGAAGGTGTCTCATATCCAACGACAGGAGAAGGGAAAACGGGGGTCAGGGAATGGAGTGGAAAGAGTCAAAGTGAGGGGCCCAGTAGCAGAAAGGGACCCGGGATTAATTTGCAGAAAGGGGGGGTGGACAGAGGCCACTAAATCCCAGGAATCAGTGGGGCAAAGAGAGGGGGACAAGAGAGCGGAGGCTGGGGTGTGGGGAGCGATGCAAAACAAGGGGGCATAAGGGAAATAATATTTTGGAGGGGGGTGTTGGGAGGCCAAAGGCTCCCAGAAGCCAATGGGGCAAGAGGGTAGGTGGGAGTGGGGCAGGGGGAGAGGAAATCAAGGCTGGTGGGATCCGCTTGAGGACACTGAGAAGGGGGCGAAAGGGGGCTGAGGAAAGAAACCCCAGGAGCCAAGGGGGCAGTTTTGGGGGAGAACAGGGAGACCTGAACGGTGGGAGCTCTTACGTGTCAGAAGAAACGGGGGAAGAGGAGGAGGAACTGGGGCGGGGGCAAGGGGGGCCGGATCCAGAGGCGGCCTGGCAGTGGGGTGGGGTGGGGGGTGGACAGACCCAAGGAGTCAGTGGGGCAGGGGTTGGAAGGGGGGGAGAAGGGCCCTTGAGCCCCCCTGGGGCAAATGACAGGGGGGCAGTTCCTGGCCTTGTGCGGGGGGGGTGGCGTGAAGGGGAGGGGGCGCGAAATCTTCCATGGGCCCCTGGGGCAGGAGAGGGGAGGGGGCGGGCAGACCCAAGGAGTCAGTGGGGCAGGGGTTGGAAGGGGGGGAAAGAGCCTTTGAGCCCCCCTGGGGCAAAAGACTGGGGGGCAGTTCCTGGCTGTGTTCGGGGGGGGCGTGAAGGGGAGGGGGCGCGAAATCTCCCATGGGCCCCTGGGGCAGGAGAGGGGAGACCCAAGGAGTCAGTGGGGCAGGGGTTGGAAGGGGGGGGAGAGAGCCTTTGAGCCCCCCTGGGGCAAAAGACGGGGGGGGCAGTTCCTGGCCTTGTGCGGGGGGCGCGAAATCTCCCATGGGCCCCTGGGGCAGGAGAGGGGAGACCCAAGGAGTCAGTGGGGCAGGGGTTGGAGGGTGGGGGGGAGAAGGTCCCTTGAGCCCCCCTGGGGCAAAAGAAGGGGGCAGTTCCTGGCCTTGTGCGGGGGGGGGCTTGAGGGGGAGGGGGCGCGAGATCTCCCATGGGCCCCTGGGGCAGGAGAGGGGGGCAGGGGCCCTGGAGGGAGGGGGCGTTGAGGGGGGAGGGGACGGAGGACCCCCCCAGGGGTGCCCCGGGAGGTGCCTGCCTGCCTTCCCCGCACTCACCTCACGCCGTGTCCATGGGAGAGAGGCGGCGGCGGGAGAGAGGGAGGGAGGCAGGAGCCGGCGCCCCGCCGCGGCCTCTCTCTCTCTCTGTCTTTCAGTCTCTCTCCCTCCGGCCGCCTCAGCCTCTTCCAGCCGCCGCCGTCGCCGGGCCCAGCTCCGGGGCTGCCCTCGCCGCCGCCTGAGGGGGCCTCTTTCTTCTCCCTATCCGCTCCGCCGTGAGGTAAATAAATACATTTTTTAAAAACTCCCGCCCCCCCACCTCAGATTGACTTTCTCCTCACACGCGAATGGGGAGGGGTTCGTTTTATTTTTTATTAATTTAACCGATTCCCCCCCCTCCCCGGAGAAGGCGAAGGACCCCAAGTCAGGGCCCGTTGGCGGCAATGGAGAGAAGGGCCGTAGGTGGCTATGCCAGCGCCTGATTGGGACGGAGGAGGAGGAAAAAGAAGGCGGGGCCGGCGCTCCGGGGACGCACGCATGCGCAGCGGGTTTCCCCGCTGTGAGTCGCGAGCGGCGCAGTCAGTGGCTGCGTGGAGGTGTCAGGGATCGGGGCCGCCCTTGCAAGCAGGATGGTCATTGCGGGCCATTCCCGAGTAAAGCTGCCCTTCCACCTCTTCCCTTTAAAAATACTATTAAGTGGCTTGTAATTGGTTTTATACAATTTATTATTTTTAAATAGCTTTATGCATTAGTATGAATTCTGAATTTATTGTTATTCACGTTTTATACTGTATTTTATGCTTTTTTGTTGTTGCATCAATTAAGTGTCTTAAATTTGTTGTTTTCTGTTTTCTGTTTTCTGAACTGGGAAGGGCGGGGTATAAATAAAGAATTATTATTATTATTATTAATTGGGGGTGTTGTTGGGTTGTTTTTAATTTTGTATTATATTGGGATTTTGGGTTGTAACCGCCCTGAGATCTGTGGGTATAGGGCGGTATGAAAATTTAATGAATAATAATATTATTAGCCCACATTTCCCGATCTCCAAAATCGAATCTGTTTGCAGCTGCTCAGAGGAGACCCATTTACCTTAAGCTGCCTTGCATGGAGACAGGCCATGGTTCTCTCCAGGTCAGCATTATTTGGCAGAAGCTCTTCAGAGTTTCAGAGAAGGAGTACCTGGAGACGCCAGTCAATGGGGATGCAACCTGAGACTTAATGAAAGTACACAGTTTTTGGGTCAGCTGTTTAGCACGGAAGAGACTGAGAGAGGTGACATCCTCTTCTTGTTCTTTTTAAATAAATTTATTCATTTGGTTTTTCAAATTAAAGTTTTGCAATCAGATATCCAACATACCTAGACAGCGTCTTAAAAAGCAGAGACATCACCTTGCCAACAAAGGTCCGTATAGTTAAAGCTATGGTTTTCCCAGTAGGGATGTATGGAAGTGAGAGCTGGACCATAAAGAAGGCTGATCGCCGAAGAATGGATGCTTTTGAATTCTGGTGCTGGAGGAGACTCTTGAGAGTCCCATGGGACTGCAAGAAGATCAAACCTCTCCATTCTGAAGGAAATCAGCCCTGAGTGCTCACTGGAAGGACAGATCCTGAAGCTGAGGCTCCAAGACTTTGGCCACCTCATGAGAAGAGAAGACTTCCTGGAAAAGACCCTGATGTTGGGAAAGATGGAGGGCGCAAGGAGAAGGGGAAGACATAGGACGAGATGGTGGGACAGTGTTCTCGAAGCTACGAAAATGAGTTTGACCAAACTGTGGGAGGCAGTGGAAGACAGGAGGGCCTGGCGTGCTCTGGTTCAGGGGGTCACGAAGAGTTGGACACAGGGACGCGGACTTATAAAAAATATTGGGGGGGCCCGGGAAAGCTCATGAATAATAAATAAGCTCATGAATATGCAAATAAAGTGGCTCCGGCCCTAAATAGGGCAAGCCACGCCCCCCCAGCCAGCCGATTGGCTGGCTGGGAGGTGTGGCCAGTCGGGATTCCCCTGTTCTCGCGGGGGCTGAAACCGCCAGGAGGAAGGAAATTCCCCCCGGCAGTGCCTTGGCAGTGGCGGTGGTGCTGCGAAGCAGCGAGGCAGGAGCCCCCACCCCCGGCGCCCGAGATTATTGGGGGGGCTGAGCCCCCCCAAAAAATTTTTTGAGGGGGCTCGAGCCCCCTCAAGCCCCATGGGGTCGGCGCCTATGGTTGGACACGACTAAACGACTAAACAACAACAACAATCCAACATACATCGTAAAAGCAAGATTCCAAAGAATCGCCTGGACTTCCCTTGTTCCCTTTTGTGGGTCCTGTTGTTAATCATTTCTCCTGCATCTTTTATAATAATCCAACTCTTTTTTACATTGCCACTACTGTATATCCAAAATTCACAATTTCAAAATTCACTACAAGTGTTATTCCAATCCTACTAATGATTTTAACGGTTTGCAATGATTTTTAAGATAAATTATAATTCCCCCTCCCCATTCCTTATTAAAATCCTCTTCAAATATCTGAAGGGGTGTCCGGTGGAAGATGGAGCGAGCTTGTTTTCTGCTGCTCCAGACCGCAGGACCCAAGTCAGTGGATTCAGATGACAAGGAGCTTCAGATTAAGAGCTGTGCAGTAATGGAATGGGCTCCCTCGGAAGGTGGTGGACTCTTTTAAACAGAAGCTGGATGGCCATTTGCCAGGGATTCTTTATGCTGCGATTCCTGCATTTCTGGGGGTTGGACTAGATGATCCTTGAGGTTCATTTCCAACCCTACCATTCTATGATTACTGTATTTTTTGCTCTATAAGACTCACTTTTCCCCTCCTAAAAAGTAAGGGGAAATATGTGTGTGTCTTATGGAGTCAATGCACGCCCTAGCAGCTATCCCAGAAGCCAGAACAGCAAGAGGGATCGCTGCTTTCGCTGCGTAGTGATCCCTCTTGCTGTTCTGGCTTCTGGGATTCAGAATATTTTTTTTCTTGTTTTCCTCCTCCAAAAACTAGGTACGTCTTATGGTCTGGTGCGTCTTATAGGGCGAAAAATACGGTATTCCTTGCAGTGCTGGCCAGCTGCAGAACTGAACTTTGCTTGTCCCCTTCCCATGCGGCTGTCTTGGTTCTGGGTGCAGTTTATGGAGGAGGAGGAGGAGGGCAGCTGGCAGATTTGGGGCAATTCTAGGCAGGTAGGATGTCCTGGCAGAGAAGAGAGAGTTAGGAAGAAGGAAACCTCAGCGTCCCTCTGCCAACGCCTTTGCCCCAGGCAGTTGCTGTCTTGCAGCTGAGTCAGGCGCTGAGAAAAAGCGCAGGATTACACCCAGCCACACCCACCAGGTTGCAATCACTATGCAGATGGTATTGCAGTCAAAAATGGTACAGTGGTACCTCGGGTTACAGATGCTTCAGGTTACAGACATCCACTAACCCAGAAATAGTACCTCGGGTTAAGAACTTCGCTTCAGGATGAGAACAGAAATTGCGGCGTGGCGACAGTGGGAGGCCCCATTAGCCAAAGTGGTGCTTCAGGTTAAGAATGGACCTCCAGAACGAATTAAGTTCTTAACCCGAGGTGCTACTGTATTGCAAATGTCAAAAATGTCCTCTTCTGCATCACCCAATGGCTGGAGGGACTGCGATAAGCTCGGTGCATTATCAGTTATGGTGGCAACGTACAAGATTTTTGGAATTAATTTTGATGGAAAGAATAAACACATAAATAAATCTCCTCCCAGCTTTCCATACGCAGAAAGCCTTAAGGAAAATAAAATCACGAAACAAAACACTAGCCCTTCAAAGCCTTTTTCATTTAATGATTGGTGGTGTGTTTTTTTAATGCTGTTTGAGGAATTATTCTAATTGTGACCTTAGGGAATGCTGAACTAGGACATCGCTGCCCTCTGCTGGAGGGTGGATAATATTAGAATTAAGCAAATTGGGATCCCAAGCAAAAATGCACCTCTCATCTCACTTCCTAAAGCAGCGACTGCGTGGTATCTTGGTTGACTCTCTTGCAGCAGAGAAAACACAGCAGATCCTCTGGGATTTCTCTTAGTAGCAGGTTTTTTGTTTCCCTGAAGCAACGCCAAAATGATCTCAGCAGCCCAGACGGAAAACCCCAACTTCACTTTGCAGATTGGTCGACGCAAGTTACTAGTCCTCTCGGACTCCCAATTTTTTGTGCAATTTAAGGGGGAATCTTCCCATACCTGGAATGAATTTGCACTCCGCTGCAAAGCCGTCTGGTACATGCCTCACTCAAATAAATCAGTAAAACGTCGTTTTGATGTAGTCAAATGGGTCATGTGCCTTCCTTTATTTACAAGCAAAAGTGGGGTGGGGAGTGGGAATTGGCATTTTGGCCCCTCCATGCATTGGTGACCCTACAGATAGACTACTGTAATACACTGGATTCGGGGCTTCCCTTGAGACTGGTCCGGAAGCTGCATCAGGTGCAGGATTCTGTGGCCACATTGCCTGGATGCACCCATTCTACAGCTGGGTCGACTGAGGCAGCAGCACTGGCTGCCGATCAGCTAACCCTGTGTAGGCCTGTAAGATTACTTACATCATTGGGGTGGGGGGGTTAGTTGTGGTTTACTTGGGGCGGGGTGTGTGTCCTAGTTTAGCACTAATTTCTTTTTCACACTGGTTCTCCAGATTACAAGATTCCTGTATCCATAGTACTGTTTCACTTGGGTTGGAATCTCCCATTTTTAAGAATACCGTTCCCTTGATTTTCTGTTGCGATGCCGGCAGATTAGAGGGAAAACAACAACAGTGAAATTTTTTTAGAAAAGTGCATCTAAAGAAATAAAGAGAAAACTTCAGGCATAAAACCTCAAATAAATCTTTAATAAAAATAAATTAGATTTGGACCAAGAAAAAAAAACGGGATGTGTGTGTTTGGGGAAGGGGGAACCAAACCAAACCTAGATACATTCAGCTTTATCATAGAGATTTATATATAATATATATATTTTATATATATTTATATAATCTGAGCACTCTGAGCAGTTTCTATAAAATGTCTTTCCTATAAATGCTTTTCCTTTTTTGTCCATTTCCGATAATCTGATGCAGCTATTTGTAATTCAGTGGGAAGCCAAGCCCTGATTCCCAGAGGGCTCCTGTACCTTTTAAGAGTGGTGTAGTAGGAAGAAATTCAACAGGTGCTGTTTCTTTCCTCAGTGTGCTTCAGGGAAATCACTTAGGGTGGTTTGTTTTTTCTCTCTTCCTGGTGCACAAGAGCCCGTTCCACATTGGTACTGCCCAATATCCTCCCTTGTGGCTCATTCTACCATCTGGCCTACCAGAAAGACAGGATGTTGCCAACTTTTTCTTCCAGAAAGGCTCCTGTGTCATTTGTCGGTATTTTTTTGTATCTTCGTTTTAGGTCTTGTTATAATTTATGTGGAAACTGTTCAGTTTGACTGTGTGTTTTTGTAATGTTCTATTTATCGTACAGGACTACAGTCGTAACTCGGAAGTCGAACGGAATCCGTTCCGGAAATCCATTCGACTTCCAAAACATTCGACAACCAAAGCGCGGCTTCCGATTGGCTGCAGGAAGCTCCTGCAGCCAATCAGAAGCCCCGTCGGATGTTCGGCTTCCAAAAGAACGTTCCAAAACTGGAACAATCACTTCCGGGTTTCGATCGTTCGGGAGCCAAAACGTCCGAGAACTAGGCTGTTTGAAAACCAAGATATGACTATACTTTTGCAATGTTGCAGTTATGCATTTTTTCCCCATGTTGTAAGCTGCCTTGTGCATAAGTTTCATAGAATCATAGAATTGTAGGGTTGGAATTTTGAAACGCGGCATACAAATAAAATTATGTATGTGTGCATGCAGGGCCAGATTGAGGTTGGATGAGGCCCTAAGCTACTGAAGGTGACGGGGCCCTTTATATGTCCAGCTGTCCTTTGTCAGCAACAAATCGCCGCTGTTTTTTTGTGTTGAATATATGCTATATTTATTTATTTATGGACCTTGTAAGTATCTAAAGCCATTTGCACATAATAAAATATGTACCGTATTTTATCCAAGTAATGGTTGAACTGAAATACAATTAAGTATATTAATATTTTGGAAATGTACATCCAGTGTTTTTTTCCCTTTACATGTTTTGGGGGGCCCCAAGAGAGTGGGGCCCTAAGCTATAGCTTGTTTAGCTTATACGTGAATCTGGCACTGTGCGCATGTATGTATGTTTATAATGGTTGCATGGGAAGCTGGAATCCGAGAGATGTACCATACTTTTCCGGGTATTAAGACTAGGTTGTTTTTTTTAAACTAAAAATAATGCTAAAAGGGGGGGTTGGTCTTATACACAGGGGCAATCTCCCCCCACTTTTCTTAATTTTGAGGCCCCCAAAATCAGGGATATCTTATACACGGGGGGCGTGATATACATGGAGAAATACGGTACTTCCCCCATCATGACACAGCTGCTGCTACAGGGAGGAATATGCCTCTTCACCTGTTGAATTTCTGTCATTTAAAAAAGGCCCCTGGCAAAGGACTCAAGGTGGCGACGTCTGTCCTCAGGTGTCACCTGGGCCTATGAGGAGAAGCTGTTGTGGGCAGCAAATCCAGCGCCAGGTGTCAACTATGGGATTTAGGATATTCCGTCAATCTAGAATCACAGAATTGCAGCGTTGGAAGGGACCTCAGGGGTCATCTAGTCCAACCCCCCAGGAAATGTGTCTCCCCCTACCTGCCCTCCCTGCAGTGGCGTAGCAAGGTCAGGTGGTACCCGGGGCAGAAAATTTCTTGCCCCCCATTGAAATCTAGTTGGACTCGCAAGAGACTGCGATCGACTCACAGTATAAAAAGACTGGCTGTGATCACTGTCATTGTCAGTTGTTGTAGAGCATTTTTTTGGGGGGGGGAAGGTTAGGGTTAGGACTCCGCAGCCCCCCCCCCCGGAGATGACACCTGGGGCTGTCTGCCCCCCCACTGCCCCCACCTTGCTCTGCCCCTGCCTCCAGGTCCAAATATTAACTGCAGGGCCTTGTTGATTTCTTAAGCTTCACCCCACAAACTCCATCACAAAGCCTTAAGGGTTCACAGCTTCAGAATAAATGTTACGATTGTGTGCCCTCCAAACTTTTCTTCCACCCTGCCAGGTTTTTTGTGCATTCAGTGGCTCAGTGACAGGCAGAAATCCAACAGATCAGGCCCCTCCTAGGAATGGACATGGCAACGGCTGCTCCTACTGGATTTAGTGTTAGCGACGCAGGAAATCAGCCCAGAAATAAGTTGGCAACCCTTTACAGAAGCTACCCTCGGAAGGGCAGAGAGAAAAACAAAAGTGTGTTGATTTGAGCTGCAAAGAAGGGGAGGCAATATATTCCTGTTTCTAGAGGTGAGGGTTGCCAACTGTTTTACTGAGACCTGCGCCTGTGCGTTTAGCAGCCGCGTCATCTACAGACATCGTCAACCCGCTTAAATAATATATATATCTCTAGGCTGTAAGAGGAGCTTTGCTTCCACATTTCTGCAGGCAAAGTTCCTCTTGGAAACACGACAGCAGGCCAGGCTGGGTTTTCTGGTCACTTGGCAACACCGCCTGGGCTAGGAAGGAGGAAGGAAACCTCTCTGAGTGCTAAGGTTGCCAACTTCAGCAAAAACCAAAGCTCACGTGCCTTTAAGGGACACCTTGATGTTTAAAAACAAAAACCCGTTGTGCTTCTCTCTAGGGATGGAGAGGAGCAGAATTGATGTTGATGACAGAGGAGCATGGGTAGGCGGGAAAAGTTGGCAACCTCAAGAACTGTGTGGAAAACCTAGCTGCAACTTGCGAGTTGGGAAGCTGGCTTGGAGAGGCTGATCAGTCTTCCTGCAGAAGCGTTTGCCCTTCTGTGTTGTTTCCTCAAAACTGAGGGAATCCAGGTCCATTCTGGACCGCGGGAGTTTGGGGCTGGTTGCTTGACCACTTCCATCACCACTGGGCATGCTGGCTGCGGGGACCTGGAGTCCAGTGACCTTTGGGGGTCCGCAGGTCCCCGCTTCCTACTGTAAATAGGGAAACAGTGGCAAGATTGTAGAAACCGTCTTGCTCGGCTGCTAATCAGCTTTCCCCACAATCCAAAGTAGCACCAATACTGTATATTTTCAGGAGGAAATAAAAATAATGCATATTTTTCGCTTCCCTAAGGAAATACTAGAGCAAAGCCAATATGGCTGGGAGGCGTCAGACTCAGTGCTGCCCTCTGGAAGGGAGCGTGTGGAACTGCAAGGGCTCCAAGTTCCGGTCCACCCACCAGCCATTTTTTGCCGCAGCTGGCGGGATTTTACTGGCCGGGGTGGCGTGGATCGGGTCGAGAGCTCCTTCCCCATCAGGGCTTTGTCTCAGGCAAGTTCACAGGCCTCGGGGACCAAAACCACCCACCACAGAACTCCACATCATGTCCTGTGCGTTTCCAAAGGGCTTCTGTGAGGAATCGAACCCAGCGCCGGCAATGTCAGGTCGTCCGTGCACGGCCCGTAGCGCCGTGTCCCAAAACAAGCTGAAGTTGGAACTGTGCAGGCAATTTTGGCCTCCTTTTAGCTGGTTGCAAAATGAGCGTCTCGGGGTCTGTGTGTGTGTGTGTGTGTGTGTGTGAATGGGATTGGGGATGGCTTCACGGGAGGGAACCAAAATTTTGGCGGTGTGTCTTCAAGGAGGGAGGGAGGAGGCCAAGCGGGGTGCAAAAGTACCCCTTGGGAGTTCCTTAAAAGCCAAGGCCACCAAAATCATCTGTGGGTTCAGTTCTCTGCCAGAACGCCGTACGTCGCAATTTGTCTCCCCTCTTCCTAGCCTCCGTGAAAGGGGACAGCTTAAAAGGAAATGCAGGAAGTACGATGAGTCTGTAGCTTGGGGTAGGTTTCTCTGGAAATACTGGGGTACAGTATGAACTACTCCTTCTGGAGAGAGGAGAGGACGCTGATGGGAATTTCTCAAGCCTCGAGTTCGAATCCCATTTGGTCCTTCAATGCCTTTGCCGCGATCCCTCTCCAGCAGATGGGTTTTGGTTTTTTGCGGATGACGGGGGCTCCCGTAGTCCGCGAAATATATTCGCTCGTCCCCGGTTCAGGTAAAGGTGCGAGGAGTCCAGGATCCCGCCCGCTCGCTGGCGCTATCGGCTCGGTCCGGCGTGGCGCCTCTCCAAGGCGTGGGTACATGAGGCACAACAGACGGCTTTGTAGTAGGAGTAGACGCAGAGGCGGGCCTGCACGATCACCGGGCAGTTGTGGTATTTGTCCCTGCAGTTCTCATCTGCCGACCAAAGAGGAAAAGCAACATGAAAAAACCCCAAAGAGTTGTGGCGTCTCCAACTTGACGAACCTGACAAGGAGACTGGGAATGTCCCCTGCCCCGTTAACTCTCCCGACAGATGGGGAAATACGGCTCTGTTCACTGGGATAAGTTCTCGGCTCACGTCTTCAGCGACCTCATAACCACAGCTACCGGAATAATTTAAAACAACTATCTGACGTTTTTACAGGGACAAGGGTGGCGCTGTGGATTCAACCACAGAGCCTAGGACTTGCCGATCAGAAGGTCGGCGGTTCGAATCCCCGCAACGGGGTAAGCTACCGTTGTTCGGTCCCTGCTCCTGCCAACCTAGCAGTTCGAAAGCACGTCAAAGTGCAAGTAGATAAATAGGTACCGCTCCGGCGGGAAGGTAAACGGCGTTTCCGTGCACTGCTCTGGTTCACCAGAAGCGGCTTAGTCATGCTGGCCATATGACCTGGAAGCTGTATGCCGGGTCCCCCAGCCAATAAAGCAAGATGAGCGCCGCAACCCCAGAGTCTGCGACTGGACCTAATGGTCAGGGGCACTCATCTCGCTTTGTTGGCCGAGGGAGCCGGCATACAGCTTCCGGGTCATGTGGCCAGCATGACTAAGCCACTTCTGGCGAACCAGAGCAGCGCACGGAAACACCGTTTACCTTCACGCTGGAGCGGTACCTATTTATCTACTTGCACTTTGACGTGCTTTTGAACTGCTAGGTTGGCAGGAGCAGGGACCGAGCAATGGGAGCTCACCCCGTCATGGGGATTCGAACCGCCGACCTTCTGATCAGCAAGTCCTAGGCTCTGTGGTTTAACCCACAGCGCCTCCCGCGTGCCAATACTGCCATAAGGGACCGCTGCAAATTCCTGCATTGCAGGGGGGGGTGGTATAGAGTCCAGCCTTTCTCAACCTGTGGGTCCCCAGATGTTGTTGAACTACAACTCCCATCACCCCTAGCTAGCAAGGCCAGAGCTCAGGGATGATGGGAGTTGTAGTCCAACAACATCTGGGGACCCACAGGTTGAGAACCGCTGGAATAGACAATCCACAGGGTCTCTTCCAATTCTACAATTCTGTATCAAGACTAAAACCCTAACAAGCTGACAATTGTAAGAATCCTTTTATCCAGCTGGGAAAGCCTGCTGGAACAAAAACAACCATCTTCAGTTGTTTCCGAAAAGGGCAGACAGTGAGGGCCTGCTGTATCTCGACGGGGACGCCATTCCACAGAAGAGGGGCAGCCACATGGAAGGCCCTGCTTTGAATGACTACACCGTATACCACCACGTCATATTGTAGGAATTGTATCTGCAAATAAACGACTTTGCAGAAATGCACCCCTTGGGCGTGTGGAGTTTTTCACCCTGCCTGCCCGTCCTCCCCCCATTTTTGGCCGTAGGGAGGAGGAGGGGGCCGGGTGGGTTACCGAGGTCCAGGAGGCAGGGCTGAACGTTGCAGGGCCGTTTCTTGATGGGCTTGAGATCTGGTGGACAGAGGTTGCTCAGGGTCTTGTTTTGGGTCAGACACTGGACCTCTCTCACTTGGACGCCCCCAACACAGGACCTGGAACACTGAAAGGACAAAGGGGAAACGGAACGGTTGTGGAATATGGACCTAAAATATACAGCATGTTACAGTTTAAGAGAAAATTATATTAAAATTATATATCGGTGGTATCTAATACTGAGTAAACTGGCAAAAATGCATAAATCGGAATCAGGGGTCAGCAAACTTTTTCAGCAGGGGGCCGGTCCACTCTCCCTCAGACCTTGCAGGGGGGCCAGACTATATTTTGAAGGGAAATAAATGAATGAATTCCTATGCTCTACAAATAACCCAGAGATGCATTTTAAATAAAAAGACACATTCTGCTCATGTAAAAACACGCTGATTCCAGACCGTCCGCGGGCTGGATTTAGAAGGTACAGCAGAAAAGGTGTCCAAATATAAACAGTCAACTTATTAAACCTCACAATAATTTCATAATATACAGTGGTACCTCTGGTTACGTACTTAATTCGTTCTGGAGGTCTGTTCTTAACCTGAAACTGTTCTTAACCTGAAGCACCACTTTAACTAATGGGGCCTCCTGCTGCTGCCGCGCCGCTGGAGCACAATTTCTGTTCTCATCCTGAAGCAAAGTTCTTAACCCGAGGTAATATTTCTGGGTTAGCGGAGTCTGTAACCTGAAGCGTATGTAACCTGAAACGTATGTAACCCAAGGTACCACTGTATCTGTCTATGTATTTCTAATAGTATAACCAAATCAGTGATTTTTGATAGGACTGCAAAAACTACTCTGAAAATTCATTATTCCAAAAGCGAAACCTTCATCTGGTTGTAAATATTAAGACCGTACCAGCAAGAATGAGCCTTTCTGTAAAAAAAATGATTAAACATTTGATGTTAGCTGCTCTGAGCCCGGATTTGGCCGGGGAGGGTGGGGTATACATAAAAATTATTATTATTTATTATTATTATTATTATTAAATCAAGACTTACTGACTAGTGATTTAAATTGATTCGATCTAAATCAAACCCACCCTGGGGTACTCCCTGCCGCAAACCCCTTCCCCGTTTTGTCCGTTCTCTGAATCCTACGTGTGGAAGGGGGTTCCCGCCCCACCCGTGTCAGACCCTTGCCCTCACTCACAGAACTCCAGGCGGTGGAGAACCAGCGGGCCTCGCAAGATGTGCCCACGCAGGGCTGCAAGGAAGGCGGCTTTTCCAGGTGGGCACAGTCCGAGGCGTCCGTCACGTTGAACTCAGCGCCCAGCTTGCTGACGCAGATGAGGTCGCGCCGCTGGGTGCCCGTACTGCAGTCTGATGAGCACTGGGGGCGAAGAGACAGAGGGGGGGCGGATCAGGGCCAGATTTAGGTTTGATGAGGCCCTAAGCTACTGAAGGTAAAGGGTAAAGGGACCCCTGACTGTTAGGTCCAGTCATGACCGACTCTGGGGTTGCGGCGCTCATCTCGCTTCATTGGCCGAGGGAGCCGGTGTACAGCTTCCGGGTCATGCGACCAGCATGACTAAGCCGCTTCTGGCAAACCAGAGCAGCGCACGGAAACGCCGTTTACCTTCCCGCCGGAGTGCTACCTATTCATCTACTTGCACTTTGACGTGCTTTTGAACTGCTAGGTTGACAGGAGCAGGGACCGAGCAACGGGAGCTCACCCCGTCGCGGGGATTTGAACCGCCGACCTTCTGATTGGCAAGTCCTAGGCTCTGTGGTTTAACCCACAGCGCCACCCGCATCCCCTATTGAAGGTAACGGGGCCCTTTATATGTCCAGCTGTCCTTAGTCAACAACAATTTTTTCTGTGTTGAATATAGGAGCGTCTCCATCCCCATCGTTCTGCTCAGACACTGAGGTCCAGCGCCGAGGGCCTTCTGGCGGTTCCCTCGCTGTGAGAAGCCAAGGGTGCTGGGAACTGTAGCTCTGCAAGGGACAAGATACAGTTCCCAGAATTCTTTGGGGGAAGCCATGGTTGTGCAAAGTGCTACAATAGTGTCCTAAATGTGGTGCAGGCAACCCCAACCTTTGGCCCTCCAGATGTTTTGCACTACAGTTCCCATCATCCCTGACCACTGGTCCTGTTAGCTAGGGATGATGGGAGTTGTAGGCCAAAACATCTGGAGGGCCAAAGGTTGGGGTTGCCTGGAATACATAGCTGTCAACTTACAGATTTGAAAATAAGGGACCAGCAGCCTTGAAAATAAGGGATCAGCAGCCAAAATAAGGAATTTTGCTATTGTAAAGAGTTGCATACATTGGTAGGATTGACAGATGCTGTCAATCTGGCATGAGGTGGTTGTGGTGCTGCGGTGGCCGCTGAAGCGCTGCCCTTCTGCATCCTTCCCCATCCCCTCCTCTTCCTCCTCCCTCAGACTGCCTCCTCAGCTGCCACCCCTGCTGCCGCCTCCAGGCTCGTGGGCAGCATGGGCAAAAGTCTCTCGGGTGGGGAAGGGCCGATGGAACTCCTTGCGCCAGGACGGTGCCAGCGTGCACTCTCTCTCACGGCGGAGGGCCCCTAGCCGCTGGTTCCCTCCAGAGCCGGGCAAGCATGAAACCCGGGAAATTTAAGGGACATCATCCATAAGGGACAGCAGCGGGACACGGCGCTGGGATAAGGGAGTTTCCTGCCAAATAAGGGACGGTTGACAGCTATGCTGGAGTAAGGTCTAGGTCTCTTAATTAGCTCTACTTTCAGACTTGGTTTTATGCCTGTCAACCCACATTTGTAGAATGTTGACGCATGTTCTAATCTGTTTTTAGTCTATCAATATTTTTTTTTTCATTTTAAATAGTTGTTTTTAACTATTTTTTCACTGATAAATCTATTGTTCTTTTTTTGTAAACCACTTTGAGGTGTTGCTGTGTATTTTTTTACAATCAAGCAGTGTATAATTTTTTTGAAATAAATAAAAATAAATAAAACTAAGGGTGCTGAAATTTGTAAGGAGTAACACCCCCCACCCCCCAAAAAAATATCCCCTCACGGAGCTACAATCCTCAGAGTGGTTTAACACTCAATCCAGGGAATTCTGGGAAATCTGGCTCTGTGAGGAAGGGGAATAGGGAGTCTCCTCTTTAACAACCCTCAACACCCTTCGCAAACACGTCGACTGATTCCTTCATTGCAGCGGATTGGACTAGATGCCCCTTATGGGTCCCATCCTACTCTATAATTCGGGTCCAAAATCCGTCTAGCTGTTGGGGCTCCCTGCAAGCAGCAAGGAATCCTGGGATCTGTAATTTTGTGAGGGAGCCAGGACTCCTCCTGTTAGTCGCCAGTCGCTTGTTTGCAAAAAACTACCATTCCCAAGATGCCTTAAGCCAGGCACCCCCAAACTCGGCCCTCCAGCTGTTTTGGGACTACAACTCCCATCATCCCTGTTAGCTAGGGATGATGGGAGTTGTAGTCCCAAAACATCTGGAGGGCCGAGCCTGGGGGTGCACGCCTTAAGCTTTTGCAAACCGGGTTCATATAATGCTGGCGACGAGACCGGGACGGGACGAGGGGCGCTGCTCACCGGACTCCATGGCCCAGTGTACCACCGGTTGACCCTCTGGCACGGACCGCCATTGCATGCCCTCATGTCGGCTGGTTTGGTGCCGGCGCAGTTCTCCTCCACCTGCCCGTTGGCGGCGCTCGAAAGGCAGACCACCGAGCGCCGCTGGATCCCCGTCCCGCACTCGGCTGAGCACTAGAGAGGAGAAAGAGGGAATGCAGGAGACATTTCATAAGCTTTATCATACAACTGGCTCTTCTTATAACCATAGTTTAGAGGTCCTGGGCCCTACGGAAGTCAGACTATCCTCCACCAGGGCCAGGGCCTTCTCAGTGATGGCTCCGATCTGGTGGAATGCTCTGTCCCATGAGACCCTGCAGGATTTAACCTCCTTCCGTTAGGAGGAAGACAGAGCTATTCTGCATGGCCTTTAATTTGAATTCAGCCTGATCTTTTATTTCCCTTCTCTTCCCTCCCCCTCCCCTTTTATGAAGATCACCCGCGCTGAGACCCCACAGCTAATTCTCCCCTGGCCTCCTCGCTGGCCCAAGTAGGACCAATTCAGCCAGCTAGCCCTGTGGATTATCTAATGCTTATTTCCCCTAAATTGATTTCTGATTTCTGAATTTTGAATTTTATTGTTATTTGTGTTTTTATACTATATTTTATGCTGCTTTTACAATTAAGTGTTTTAAATTTGTTGTTAGCTGAGCCCGGTTTTTGAACCGGGAAGGGCGGGGTATAAATAAAATTTTATCATCATCATCATCATCATTCCCCTCCTCAATATCCCAGCAGCCCAAGAGGCAGCTATTTCTTTGTATATAATTTTTATCAATTTCCTGCTTTTCCAATTTAAAATACTCATTTTTACATCCGTAAAATATCAACACAGGGCTTTTTTTCTTTAAAAATGTTTAGGGGTACTCACATTTTGACTCAAGAAAACCACTATTTTATAGTTCAAATCGGGGAAAATAAATATAGTAAATGGGCAAAAGTACAAAGATTTGCAAAATGTTTAGGGGTATGCGTACCCCTGTGTACCCCCAGAAAAAAGCACTGATTTTACATATCATAAATCCCTGCATATCTTACAGAAAATATAGCGTTCAGTATTCTATTATTACATCCATTATAACTTTATTTACTCTGTGGAATTTATCTCAATGCTGCCAGCATTTCCAGCTGTACACAGTTATTTCCCATATATTCAATAAACATTTTCCAATCTTCTCTAAACATATGTTCTTCTTGTTCCCTTATTCTATATGTTAAGTCTGCAAACTGCGCATATTTTGTCGGCTTAAGTTGCCGCTCTTCTTTGGTTGTAACCTCGCTTGTTTTCCATTTTTGGGCGAGCAAAACACGGGCCGCAGTAGTAGCAGCACACATAAATAACCTTTTTTGACACCTGGGAAGAGAGGCAGCCATTTCATCTCCCACAAACCATTCATATCTCACTTGCAGCAATCCCTGGGGTTCCGTTCAAAAAGTGCCTTGGAGTTAACTGAACGTCACACGAGTGAACCGAAGTGCATTGTGCAGCTATTTCCCCCCAAATATATCCTTTATTAGGCATAGCAAACCGCACATTATCAAACAGACACTGTATACAAATTAAGCAAAAATACGAGCTCAACATAAGAAGGTTTGTCCCAGTCAGATCTTTAACTCCAGAGAAAACCAATTTGCATAAATAATACAATACAACATTACCACATCACCAATCAATTAAGAACCACTAAATCTCTTTATAATGGCCCAGGTCTTTCTACATGGACAGCACTCAAAAATTCAGCCACTATTAAAGTAATTTGATCATTCCTGTCCGAGAGCAGGTCCTGAACTGTTGGTCGCATAGAATTGAGCCTATTGTGTTCTAAGGCCTCTAATAGTGGTCTTCTGGCATAAATGCCAAAATCACAAGAAAAGAAAATATGCTCCAAAGTATCAGGTTCCTGTTTACCACATTTGCAGAGACGCTCTGATTCTGGGAGAGCTAAATATCTTCCTCTTACTATCATATTAAATCTGGCTAACGTAAACAGCCTGCACAATTCAAGATACTTCAGATTTGTCATGTTTCCCTTTTGAAAATCTCTACACAAAGGGAGATTTAAATAGAGAGGAGAGCAAGATTGCGCAGCTATTTATTTGAAGTATCGGAGAGCGGTTTGCGCGGCCAGAAACGGAAGCGAGGCAGGAGGGTAGCCGCGTAGCAGGAAACGCCTTTGCAGGGTTTTAATCTAGCTCTTGGAGAAATGGGGAATTTCGGGCTGGGGAAGAGAGACGAGGAAGACGAGGAAGGGTTAAAAAAAAGGGGGAGAGGAGGTACCGTGTTGCTCCAGTCGCTGTAGAACCAGGTGCGCACGCAAGGCCCCATGTCGCAAACTTCACTGGTTTTCGGGCGATGGTTCCCCGGGCAGTCGCTGTCGCGGAGCAAGTCGCCGTGGTTACTGACGCAGCGGACGTGGCGCGTCCGATGTCCGGTGCCGCAGAGGACCGAGCACTAGAAGGGGGAAGGAGTGTGGGATGTGAAACACAAGAGCAGTCAAGTACAGTGGTGCCTCGCAAGACGAAAAGAATCCGTTCCGCGAGTCTCTTCGTCTTGTGGTTTTTTCGTCTTGCGAAGCAACCCCATTAGCGGCTAAGCGGATTAGCGCTATTAGCGGCTTAGCGGATCAGCTGATAAGCGGCTTAGCGGATCAGCTGATAAGTGGCTTAGCGGCTTAGCGGATCAGCTGTTAAGCGGCTTAGCGGATCAGCTGATAAGCGGCTTAGCGGATCAGCTGATAAGCGGCTTAGCGGCTTGGGAAAAAGGGGGGGGGAGGAAAAAAACCCTGCAGGAACTCGCAAGACATTTTCGTCTTGCGAAGCAAGCCCATAGGAAATTCGTTTTGCGAAGCACCTCCAAAACGGAAAACCCTTTCGTCTAGCAGGTTTTCCGTCTTGCGAGGCATTCGTCTTGCGGGACACCACTGTACAACATTCCTAGAATGAAGATGTTTACACATGGGGAGGAATGTTTGTCCAGGCAGCAGGTCAATTTCCTGTTTCCCTCTGGGCTGAGACAGACTTCCTCTGCATGTGACTAGAGGTGGGCGTGGCCTCACCTGTGCAGGTAACGACAAAAGCACAGGGCAGGGCAGCCATCTCTCTCTCTTTGACTACATGCATCGAAGAAGCAACATCTGCTTAGTCAAAGATGCTCTCTTGGCTTCCAGCTGTGCTGCCAAGAGGAAGGGGCCCGGGGCAAAGAGCCATTGTTTCTGAGGACTGGTGACTGGGAGCGGCTGCCGAGACCACATAACACCGGTCTTGAAAGACCTACATTGGCTCCCAGTATGTTTCTGAGAACAATTCAAAGAGTTGGTGCTGACCTTGAAAGCCCTAAACGGCCTCGGTCCACTATACCTGAAGGAGCGTCTCCACCCCCATCGTTCAGCCCAGACACTGAGGTCCAGCGCTGAGGGCCTTCTGGCGGTTCCCTCATTGCGAGAAGTGAGGTTACAGGGAACCAGGCAGAGGGCCTTCTCGGTGGTGGCGCCCGCCTTGTGGAACGCCCTCCCACCAGATGTCAAGGAAATAAGCAGCTAGCCTATCTTTAAAAGACATCTGAAGGCAGCCCTGTTCAGGGAAGTTTTTAATATTTAATGCTGTATTGTTTTTAACATTCGATTGGGAGCCGCCCAGAGTGGCTGGGGAAACTCAGCCAGATGGGCGGGGTATAAATAAATAAATAAATTATTATTATTATTATTATTATTATTATTATTATTATTTCATCCATTCCTCCTGGCACTCCTGCTGAACGCACATTTCACATTGCCTTACATCAATGCCCATTTTGCAGGCATCCCAGCTACCCTCCCCTAGTTTTCGCTGCTGCTTCCCACGCTGAAATGACCCCCCCCAACGCCCCATCCTCCCTTCCCCCCCGGCGACCACTGAATCCCTTACCGAGCTCCAGTTAGTGCGGACTTCCCAGCGGCTGCAAACCTGGACTTGGCAGGCCTGGGTGGCGTTGGGCTTCTCCAGCTGTGCGCACCTCTGGGGGTGTACCATGGTGCTGCGGTTGGCGTAGATCTGCCGACACAGGACTTGGCGGTGCTGGGTGCCCAGGCCGCAGGATTTGCTGCAGGCTGACCACTCGCCCGCCTCCCAGCTGGAAAAGAGATGGACAGGATGGGGAGGAATGAGCAGAGAAAAAAGGAATATTCCCTCGCAAGGGAAATAAAAAAAATTAAGGTCTTTGAAATATACTCGGAGCAGAGTGTGGATTTCATGCTCTTTATTCAGCTCATAGTGGCTGAGGAGGAATGCAAGTTCCCCCAGAATGTCTGCTTTATATACATTATTTACACAATGGCACCAACGTGATTGGCTAATTCCGGGATTCTCCTGTAGGCCAATCAGGTTGCGGATTCACTTCCACCTGGAGTTGGATTGGGTGGCTCCTGTGGACCAATCAGACTGCTGCGTTCTGGATCCTATTCAACAGTCTTATATACCGTATTTTTCACTCTATAAGACGCACCAAGACCACAAGACGCACCTAGTTTTTGGAGGAGGAAAACAAGAAAAAAAATATTCTGAATCTCAGAAGCCAGAACAGCAAGAGGGATCGCTGCACAGTGAAAGCAGCAATCCCTCTTGCTGTTCTGGCTTCTGGGATAGCGGCGCAGCCTGCATTCGCTCCATAAGACGCACACACATTTCCCCTTACTTTTTAGGAGGGGAAAAGTGAGTCTTATAGAGCAAAAAATACGGTATATAATAAATGTTCATCAATGTACCAAGCAAACACATACATAAATATATAAACCACATGTCTGAAGCAGCACAGGAAAACACCCCTGGAACCATATTGACTCCCAAACTGACAAAATGTTTTCTCTGCAAGGTCAAAGGAAAATGGAAAAGCCTCTCCCCATTGTCTTTTCATTTACAAAACCTGTCTTAAGGGTATATCTGTGTATGAATAGGGTGAGCCTGTGACCTGGCTCAGGAAGTAAGTATTTGTCACTACAGAAGACTGGCCAGGCTCCCCAGGGTATCCAATCAAGTGAGCATTAAGAGGTAACCTGCCAGGGTTATGCAAACCTATAATATCCGCTGGGGACAAATTGTGCTCTGTATTCTTGCAACAGAGGCTGCTGTTGCTGCTGCTGAAACCCTCCGTTGAGCAAGGGACAGCAAAATCACGGGGCACCAGGGTTTCTGCAGAGAGGGGTTTCTAACTCTGTGATAAGCAGAGGCGGCTTGGGCCCGCATGGTGTCTTGCTCAAGACGTGGTGACCTACTCAAAAGTAGACCGTCATTTCCCCAAAGTTCACACAAGCAAATTTTAATAGGGACAGAGGAAGTTGCCCAATGCCAGAGTCCAGGCGGGTTGTCACAAGGCCTCCAGGCCTGCAGAGGGCAGCAGCTGCCTCAAAAGGAGACCCATAAGAGGCAAGGGTGGACTGGACACTCACTAGGCTGGGCAGGGCTCCGTGTTGCAGGCTTCCTCCGACACGATGGGCTTGGGGATGAGGTGGCATTTCTCCTCCCCCACCTCCTCTTGTGTAACGCGAGAGATGCATTGGTAGACAGACTGCCAGAAACCTGTAGAGAAAGGTGGTGATACTAGCAAATTGTGTCTTTTAAAAATCAAGTTTCTAGTCCTCAAGGCAATCGAGGGGCCGAGAACCAGAGAACTCAGCATCTACTGGCAAACGTGGTCCTGTCACATGGTCTGAACGCCTCTCTCTTTCCTTTGTGCGGTGGCTTCGTTCTCGCCATTGCTGCGGGGGCGCCTAACGAGCTTAGAGGATTAAAAAAAACTCGCAACGCTTGTTTGGCGCTTTCTCAGAGCGTTCCGCGGGCCCAATCCTTACCACAACGGCCTTCTGAGGGTTGTGAAGCGCTTAAGAGACCGCCGTAGCTGAGTGGCAGGTGCGTCGTTTCAATAAAAGCAAATACATTTTAAAATTCCCCCCATTTTGCAGATGGGGCAAACTGAGGCCGAGAGTGTGTGGTTCAGCTATGGGTAGCGAGGGAGTTTGTGGCAGTTCTGAGATTCAAACCAGGGACTTCCCCAATTTGCAGCTAATCTTCCTACTCCATGCCGCTCTATAAAGCCATAGAGGGGGATTAAAACTGCTAATAGCCGAGAGAGGACTGGGCCATTGGGGGCATGGACAACCACTTACTGTACTCTGTCTGACCTCTTGCTTACCTCTAAGTCCAGTGGGCGACACTGCCGGTCACCTTCTTCCACCTTAAGTCTCAGTTCCGCCCTTGCAGAATCGAGAGGCAGTGTGGCACAGTGGTTAGGGCACCAGGCAAGGACTTGGGAGAGACCGGGGTTCAGAAATCCCCTCTGGGTGTGACCTTGGGGGTCAGGCACCACCTCTTCGCCTAACCTACCTCGCAAGGTTCTTGGCGGGATTTAAATGAGGAGAACTGCACACACCTTCTTGAGCGGCGTGGATGGGATGCGCATGCAATGGACACAACTTAGTAAGGAGGTGGGACAAAACTAGAATGATCACTCTACGTGGGGCTGCCCTTGAGACTGACCCAGAAACTCCAGCGGGTGCAAATTGCCACGGCGAGACTCCTTACGGGGTCCTCACTGCGGGATCACATTCACCCAGTGCTATACCAGCTGCACTGGCTCCCGGTGGGGTACAGGATAAGGTTTAAGGTGCTGGTTTTAACCTTTAAAGCCCTATACGGCCTAGGACCCTCGTACCTACAGGACCGCCTCTCCTGGTCTGTCCCACGGAGGACCTTACGGTCTTCAAACAAAAACATCTTGGAGGTTCCAGGGCACAGGGAGGTTAGGCTGGCCTCAACTAGGGCCAGGGTCTTTTCAGTACTGGCCCCGACTTGGTGGAACGCTCTGTCACAAGAGACTAGGGCCCTGCGGGACTTGACATCTTTCCGCAGGGCCTGCAAGACAGAGCTGTTCCACCAGGCCTTTGGCCAAGACACAGTCTGACCCCCTCCTTCCGTAATCCTCACAGAACTCTAGCCCAATGATTGCCATTAATTTGATTTTGAATTGATTTTAAAAGGAATTGATTTTAGAATGCTGTGTTACTTTTATTGTTGTTAGCCGCTCTGAGCCCGGCTTCGGCTGGGGAGGGCGGGATATAAATTATTATTATTATTATTATTATTATTATTATTATTATTCTCTGACGCCCCCTACTGTCCCAATGGGCGCCAGCTGTAAGAGGCTAGTAAGTCGACCCAAACCTCCATGTGCAGGAGCAGTCTACCTCTGAATACCAGCTGCCAAGGGAAATAGGACTTACCTTTCCCGCAGGTGGCAGAGCAGTCGGTATTGCCAATTCGCCTCCAGTAGAAGTCCTGCAGGGGGTCCGAGCTGTGCTGGACAGGAGGGGGCGGGGGCGGGAGGGGCGGGACGCGGACATTCCTTTGCAGGGTCCCAGGGCTCCTCCCCGATTGGCCAGACGAGACGGGAGGGGGAGGAGCCGCAGCACGGCTCCTCCCCGATTGGCCGGACGAAGCTGGGAGGCGGGCCGGACTGAGGTTCCGGGCATCTGCGGGCACAGGGCGCTGGTGGCTGGGTGGGGGCTCCATCTGGTTGCCCGAGGAAACCACAGTCAAGGCACCTGGCAGGTACGGAGTGGGAAGAAAGAGAAAGGTGATTTTTTTGCTCCACAAAAGGGTGTCGGCTAAAAAAGACATGGCACAAAAGGAATATGCTCAGGGATGGAGGAGGAAAACACAAGTCTGCCACCTAAAACAGGCATAGCACCGAAGGAAAACGGATTGGGATGGAGGAGGAAAGAAGCAAACACAGAGGTTTGGTTTTTTTTTTTGCCTGCCACATGAGGGGAGGGGGTGGTTTGCTCACCAAAGTCCTGCCGGGGGCTACGTAGGTCAGGAGTGGGGGTCTCCGGCTGTACAGAGGCCAGGAAGAACTGGTAAGAGACGCCAGGATTGTCTTGCTGGAAGATCATCTGTGGGAGGCAGCAGAAAAGGAATTAAAGCAGGGCATGGAAGGAAGGGGGAGGGAAATGTAAAATGGGCACCTTAAGTCCCCTTCCCTGTTGGGAGTTAACAGTTCCCTCCCTCTTTTTTTGGGGGGGGACAGAAACAGAGCCTTGGGATCCCTTTCCCAGTGTGAACATCAGGGAAAAGTCCTGCTGGGTCAGACGAAAACACCTCCATGAAGCCCCTGTTGTTTGTCCTCAGAATCTGATTATGCAGAGGTAGACTCTGTCTGGACCTGGGGGCTCTACTTAGCTCCTTAGGTGGAGAAGGGAAAAGAGAAATCCTGTCTTGGAGGCCCCTCCAAGGATCCAAGCTTAGTTCAGTGGACGCTCAGGTTGCGAACGTGATCCATGCGGGATGCACGTTCGCAACCTGCAGAGTTCGCAACCTGCAGCAATGCATCTGCGCACGTGCGGGTTGCGATTCGGCGTGTCTGCACATGCACAAAGTTCAATTTAGCGCTTCTGCGCATGTGTGACCGCCAAAACCCGGAAGTAACCCGTTCCAGTACTTCCGGGTTTCAGCAGTCCGTAACCCGAAAAAACACAACCTGAAGCGGCTGTAACCCGAGGTATGACTACATAACAGAAACCTTAAGGATCAATGATTATTTATTCAACTTATCAGTTGATGCTTTTTTTTAAATAACAAAAGTAACTCAAAGCCACTTGCGACAATAAATAAATTCACACACCTGTTAAAACCAGCATAAAACAAAACTGAGGGAAATCTGAAAGTCCTGAGGACTAGGAACTTGGGTTTTTAAAGCGAATCAACGAAAGCGGAGCCCCGCCTCCCCCTTGACAAAAGAGGCAGAGATCTGCATTCGGGGTGAGCCACAGACGTCCAAGCAGCACCCGATTCAACCTCTCCTCTCCCTGAGACCCCACCCCACCCCACTGCGTACTCACATACACATCTATAGGTTCTGTCGTGGGACCCTCTGCGGTCAGGGACTCGCCCTCCCTCCTGTCGCTTCCTGGGCGGCTGTACACAAAGACGGTGCCAGCTGCCTCGTAGCGCCCTGGCGGGTTCACCGCCCAGTTCCCGTTGATGATGGATTTGCCACTGTGGCTCCGAAGGGCTGGGAGATTTGGGGGCATAGGGATTGGGGGAGAGAGAGAGAGAGAGAGAGTGTGTCAACAGCAACATGAAGCTACAGCTCGTTCAAAGTCCCTCCTCCCCTCGCTCTGTGGCCCCCCCATCCACCGCCATTGCAATTTTAATTTTTATTATTTTTATTATTCACCCCCTTTTTTAATTTCAGGATTTTTAACGTACATTATATTATCTCCTTCCATTTTTGTTTAAATTTCCCGTACAATTTTGCAATTTATATTTTTATTCCCTCATTCCAGGTGCAGCTTGCTTTTCAAAAAGACAACCGCTCAATTGGGTTTACAAGATTATCAGTCAAAACAGGTCAAGGTAAAGGTAAAGGGACCCCTGACCATTCGGTCCAGTCGTGACCGACTCTGGGGTTGCGGTGCTCATCTCGCTTTATTGGCCGAGGGAGCCGGCGTACAGCTTCTGGGTCATGTGGCCAGCAGGACTAAGCTGCTTCTGGCGAAACCAGAGCAGCGCACGGAAACGCCGTTTACCTTCCCGCCGGAGCGGTACCTATTTATCTACTTGCACTTTGAGGTGCTTTCGAACTGCTAGGTTGGCAGGAGCAGGCACCGAGCAACGGGAGCTCACCCCATCGCGGGGATTTGAACCGCCGACCTTCTGATCGGCAAGTCCTAGGCTCTGTGGTTTAACCCACAGCGCCACCCGCGTCCCAAAACAGGTCAAAGGAACGGAACGCTCAAATCAAACTCCGTGACAAGTCTAAAATGCTTGTCAACATTCTACACATTGCCTATAACAAAATTTTTAGCAGGTGCCGCAAAGAGGAGAGGGAAGGCACCCGCCTGGCGTCAATCGCCAGGGAGTTTCGAAGTGTGGGCGCTGCCACGCTAAAAAAATCGGTTTCTTACAAACACAGGGTGAGTATTTTGTGGCACCTGTAACAGAGTCATGAGATGGGAAGGAGGGTGGGGTAACTCAGGGAACCAAGGCCCCCACCCTGGAGCCACCTCGGAAAGAATGGCAGAATGCCTCTGAGCCCGTACAGAGTGCACTTGGGTCGCCACAGAGAAACGCAGCCTGCCTGCCTTCTCCCTGCCCATAGATCTGGCATTAATAATAATAATTATAAATTTTTATTTACACCCCGCCCTTCCCGGTTCAAAAACCGGGCTCAGGGCAGCTAACAACAAATTTAAAACACTTTAAAACACGTAAATATCAAAGCAGCATAAAATACAGTATAAAAACATGAATGACAATAAAATTCAAAAATCAATTAGATAATCCCCAGGGCTAGCTGGTGAATTGGTCCTACTTGGGCCAGCGAGGAGGTCAGGGGAGAATTAGCTGTGGGGTCTCAGAGCGGGTGATCTTCATAAAAGGGGAGGGAAGGGAAGCTAAATAAAAGATCAGGCTGAATTCAAATTAAAAGCCAGGCAGGATAGCTCTGTCTTACAGGCCCAATGGAAGGAGGTTAAATCCTGCAGTGCCTAGTCTCATGGGACAGAGCATTCCACCACGTCGGGGCCATCACTGAGAAGGCCCTGGCCCTGGTGGAGGACCTGGGACTTCCTTAGGACCCGGGACCTCTAATCTACGGTTGTTCATGGACCTTAAGGTCCTCTGCGGGGCAGACCAGGAGAGGCAGTCCTGTAGATACAAGGGCCCTAAGCCAACACATTAAGGGGTAGAGGGCTTCTATCTTGGATTATGATGATGACGACAATAATAATAATAATAATAATAATAATAATTTATTACTCTCCCCTGCCCATCTGACTGGGCAGTTCCATCATCAAGCTTTGTAACATGGTGGCTTGAGCTGTTCCCAGTGAAATCAGCCCTTTATTAAGACAATGAGGACTAGAATCTTACTTTATTTTTACAGGAAGATTCACAGCTCAATGGCAGGGCACACACTTTGCGGGCAAAAGGTCCCTGGGCTCAGTCCTCAGCATCTCCAGATGGGAAAGTCCCCCTTTATGAAACCCTGCAGAGCTTCTGCCAGTCAGTGTAGGCTACACTGCGCTAGATGGCCCAATTGTCTGCGCTGGTAAGAGGCTCCGCTTGTCCAAATGTTGAATTTCTGGTTTTTTATTTTCCAATAAAAAACCAGAGGCCTACCTCCTGGGAATAACAGATTTGGATATTCCACAAAAGAGGAAGGGTATCTTTTTATATGCGACGGCGGCAGCAAGAGTTTTGATCGCAGCAAAATGGAAGAGTAATGAAATCCCCTCTATACAAGATTGGATCCAAAAGCTGACAGAATATGCCGAATTAGATGGTCTATCAGAAAAATAAAGAATAAATCAAAACAGGAATTTGTTTCAAAATGGGAGGTTTTCAAAGAATATCTGAAAAATAAATATAGTAGTTTAAATTCTGTTGCAGCATTCGAGGAACTTCAGTAATAGTTGTAAGGTAGATATAAGAAATTAGATTTATTAAGAATAAGTTTAATTATGATAAAAGGGTGTATTGGCAATATGTAATATGAAATTGAAATATAGAATAGACGGGAGATTGGGTCTTTAGTGTTAAGACCAATATATGTTTTATTGTTTTCTAAGAAAATTATGTGTCTATGGTTATTCTTTGTGTAATTTGGTATTTGTGGGGTTTTTTCCCCCCTTTTTTCTTGTTGTATCAATAAAAATCTTTTTTTAAAAAAGCAAATGTTGAATTTCTATGTGCGTGCACGGAGAACATCTTCAAGAAGCGGATTTATAAACCCACCAAATTAAACAAACTACAACCCCCCGACTAAACGGCATAAACACATACCCAGGTAGTTAGGGCTGCGGGTCATTTCCTTAACCTGGATTCGGGTGGTGCCTGCCGGGATCTCTAGGATGCGGTGGTATCCAATGGGGACGTCTGTGTCGCTGAAATTCCCCACGACCAGCTTGCAGGTCGTGTGGTCTCCGCCGCAAACCCCGCAGCTGTCCAGCGTGCGATTCGAACCCAGGACCCCGTCGCAACCGGGGGTCTGGCGAGGCCATGGGAAAAGAGGAGAAACAAGTTCAAGAGATGAGCCGGTGTCCGAGCGAGGAGAAGGGGCGTCCCCTTTCATACAGAGGGCAACATCTGGTTCTCCAGATGTTCTCTGACGCCTCCTTCATCCCCCTGCAGCCCAGAAATATATTTTCTCCTCCCTCTCAGGTGCTGCCACCTCCTCCTCCAAGCCCTCCTTAAAAAACCCAGATCCCTTCCCTTGGAATTAGCAAAGCTGACTGATTTGATAAGACAAAAACCCAAAAATATAATCCAGAAACAATGGAAATGTTTAAATGATGATTTATGTAGGCAAGGATTAAGTGTAAGGTGTTGGTTGTGTTTAGAATAGATTTATGAAAGATTTAGAAAACTTGTTGATTGGAATATTTGTATGGGAAAAATACGGAATAACAGATGCAAGTTTGCTTAAAATGTGTATAGGAAGTGCAGTGTAATGCGATGGAAGTCAAACAAGGAAGTTTTATTGTTGAGATATTTGTGGAGTGAATTTGGAGGAAATTCTTCCAGTTTTTCTTCTTTTTGCAATTTTTCTTCTTATTTTTTCTTTTCTTTCTTTTCTCTTTTTTGTTCTTTTTTTATATGTGTGTGCTTATCTGAAAAAATGTGTATGTATGTATTTGTATGTATTTTGCAATAATTATGTTAAACAAAATTTAATATTAAAAAACAACAACAACCAGATCCCTTCCAAGTTAACAAGTCAACAACGAGTGAGTAACTCACAAGGCACTGCCCGGCCACGCAGATGTCCTGGGAGGAGGATTCGCACGGGGTCCCATCCTGTACTTTCTCTGTGTGTCGCACGTAGAAGCGGTAGCCGATGGGGCGGCAGTTCAGCTCGCAGCGCTGGGACCCCCGAACTGCATTATGGGAGGAGAGGGAAGGAGAGGGGTCAGTAGGATCGGGCGGGGGGGACGACCACGACTTAGTCACCTGGGGCGATCATGGGCTCCTTTCCAGATGACAAGAGGAGCATTTGCAAGTAGAAAGCAGAAATTACCAGAAGCAAGTGCAAATTAACAAATGGACCTTGTTAAGTCGTGGGTTGACATAGCAGCCGGCACAGCGATTTCTTCAAGTAGCTCTTTATTCTGGTAAGCTGGAATAGAACTGACTGCGAACAGCTCAGCCGGCCTGTATTTATAGGCAGCCGGCTGTCAACATTGTAACCACAACAGCCCAGAGTTCCCGCCTAAAATAACTGGCGCGGACCTGAGTGAAAACTATCTACAGACCTGAGTGAAAACTATATACAGTATCCCCCTGTTGGCCCAGGGTGAAACTACACTACATAACACCCCTCCCCACCGAGATAAGGCGTTAGTTACAATCGTAATGGTTTCCTTATATACAGCACTACGCATAATGGTTCAATTAGGCACAAAAGCATATCGGTTACATTTCCCATACTTAGACCAACAGTGATACCTGTCCAACAACATAGTCCTTTAAATGAGTTGGGCGCTTGGAAACTCTGCCAGACCGCCGGGGACTGGTAGCCAAGTCCGGAGGGCCACACAGTTCTCGCTGAGGCTGTGGTGCGACCCTAGGTGGCGTTGGAACCAACTCCCCTGGATCCGCTGCTGAGAGTGGAGCCTCCGCAAGTGGAGTGGTCTGAGTCTGTTCTGAAACGGCTTGGTTCGGCTCCACGCTGGCAGTTTGCGAGGGAGGTGTAGGTGGGGCCTCGCCATCTGTACGTGTCTCTTCTGGAGCCGCAAGCGCAGTTGGGGGCACCTCGGTAGTGTCCAAGTCCCCAACCCTGCTCCTAAGCTGGTCTATGTGCCGTCCCCACAAGCGTCCGTCTTCGAGTGCCACCTGGTACGAGCGAGGTCCAGTGACTCCCACTACTGTGGCTGGCACCCAAGGGATGTCCCCCACATAGTTCCGGGCAAAGACCTGGTTTCCCGGGACGAATGACCGTGGTGCGTTGGCACAGCCTGGGGGTTCAGCCACGGCAAAGTCTGGGTGTAGCCGGTCGAGCGGTGACCTGAGGCGGCGGCCCATAAGCAGTTCCGCAGGACTCCTCCCTGTGGCCGCATGAGGGGTGATGTGTTGCGCGAACAAGTATTCGGCGACCCGCTCATGCCAGTCTCCCCGGTCCAGGCGCGCCAGTGCCTCTTTTGTCGAGCGCACCATTCTTTCCGCTTGCCCGTTGCTGGATGGATGAAAGGGTGCCGTTAGGGCATGGCGGATGCCCAGTCCCAAAAGATACCGCTCAAACGTGCCTGACGTGAACTGCGGTCCGTTGTCAGAGACAAGGACATCAGGACACCCATGCGTTGCAAACAGGCCTCGCAGCACCCGGATGACAGCTTCGGTAGTGGTGGAGGGCATCAGGGCGACCTCCAGCCATTTGGAATAGGCGTCCACCACTACCATAAAGGTCCGGCCGTGAAAGGGGCCAGCCAGATCGATGTGCACCCTCGACCAGGGTGTCTTTGGCGTCTCCCAGGTGTGTCCCTTAGCTGCCGGTGGTGCAGGCCTCGACTCCTGGCACGCTTGACAGGCGGACACCCAGGCAGTGATGGCATCGTCCATATTAGGCCACCAGACGTAACACCGAGCCAACGCCTTCATTTTGACAATTCCCGGGTGGCCAACGTGCAGAGCCTCCAGGACGCGCTGACGGAGTCCCTGGGGAATCACGACGCGGTCTCCCCACAGCAGACAGCCGCGATGAGCTGAGAGTTCATGTTGTCTGGTTGCGAAGGGCTGGAACTCCGATGCAAAGGGCCCTTGTGGCCACCCCCTCCACACCCAGTTGAGCACCCGGCTGATGGTGCGATCCTGGGCAGATGCGGAGGCCACAGTGGCAGCCGATACAGGCGCTGCCGGAAGATCCTCAATCAGAAGGAGCGATGAAGCTGGAGCCGGGTCTTCCACAAATGCTGGAAGAGGGCAACGGCTGAGGGCGTCGGCATGGCCCATCGATTTCCCCGGGCGGTGGATGAGCCGGTAGTGGTAGGCAGCCAGGAAAACAGTCCATCGCAGCATGCGTGGTGAGAGGACCGGTGGAGTTGGACGATCACCGGCGAGGAGGCCCAGGAGTGGCTTGTGGTCAGTGATGAGGTCAAAAGTCCTGCCATAGAGGTATTCATGGAACCTCTTCACTCCAGCCACAAGTGCCAATGCCTCCTTGTCGAGCTGGCTGTAATTCCGTTCCGTCGGAGATAGTGTCCTGGAAAAGTAGGCGAGCGGTGCTTCTCTTCCATCTGGAAAACGGTGACTAAGGACAGCACCGATGCCAAAAGGTGAGGCGTCGCAGGCAAGGACCAGCGGCCTGGATTCACTGTACTGTACCAGCACACTGTCTGAAGAAAGGAGAGCCTTGACCGCGTTGAAGGCCGCCGTCTCCCGATGACCCCAGGCCCAAGGCGTCTTAGTGCTAAGGAGTCGGTGAAGAGGCTCAGCCACTGTGGCTTTGTGGGGCAGGAACATGTTATAAAAGTTCAGCAGCCCCAGGAACGCCTGCAACTCCGTTTTGTTCTTTGGAGTGGGGGCCTGCTGGATAGCGCGGATCTTGGATGTGGTTGGATGAAGACCGGAGGCATCGATAAGATAGCCCAGGAACTCTACCTGTGGAACGGCGATCTGGCACTTCTCCCTCTTTACCTTGAGCCCGGCCTCCTGGAACCTGGTCAGCACGGCACGGAGGCGCTCGAACAGCTGCTGGTGTGAGTCTGCAGACACCAAGACGTCATCAAAATATGGTACCACGCCCGGAAGCCCTTGCAGGAGACGCTCCATAAGGCTTTGGAAGATGCCAGGAGCCACACTCACCCCGAACTGCAACCGGCGGCAACGGAATGCCCCCCGGTGGGTGACGATCGTCTGGGCTTCAGCAGTGGCATCATCGACTGGCAGTTGTTGATAGGCTTGGGCAAGGTCCAGCTTAGCGAAGACCTTACCCTCACCCAGGGAATGCAGCAGGTGTTGGACAACAGGAACCGGATAAGCGTGCTGCTGAAGTGCCTTGTTGATCGTGCACTTGTAGTCAGCGCAGATTCTCACCGACCCATCTGGCTTGACAGGCGTGACGATGGGGGTTTCCCACTTTGCGTGGTCAACCGGCTCCAAAACTCCTTGGGCGATCAGTTTGTCCAGTTGTTCGTCCACCTTAGCCTTGAGAGCAAAGGGAACCCGGCGTGGCTTTAGCTTGATGGGGGCGACTTGTGGATCAAGGCTAAAGGAGATGGGCGTACCTGTATATTGGCCCAAGGTGCCGTCAAAAACCTCGGCAAAGTCTTTGACCAGACCCTCAGTCTCTGCGTTAGAGATGCAGTTGATGCCGGTGACTTCCAGGCCGAGGGCATCAAACCAGTCTAGCCCTAGGAGGCTTGGCCGCTGACCTTCGACCACCACCAACCAGAGCAGGCCCGAAAAATCCTTGAAGGCGATCCGGAACCGGCCAACGCCTACCACGGGAATGTCGTTTCCCTGGTAGTCTCTCAGGTGTATGCGGTGAGAGTCGAGTTGCCTTTTGGACACTCTGGGTACCAGTCTTTTGATGGTGCTCCATGACACGATGGACAGGGCAGACCCGGTGTCGATCTCCATGTCACATGGAGCTCCTTCAATGAGCACCGTGACGTTCAGCTTGCGTCGCGTAGGCGAGTCGGTTTGACCAATCGTGGTTCCAGACGGGCAGCGGCAGTTGGTGAGAGCGAAACAACTTTCCTTGGCAGACTGGAGTGAAGACTTGGACTTGCGAGTCGATGAAGGGGGGGTGTCAGACGGAGCCGATCGGCAGACCTTAGCGATGTGGCCCCTTCTGGAACACTTCCTACAGATGGCGTCTCTGAATCGACACTTGGCACGGGAATGGTTGCCTCCGCAGCCAGCACATTCCGGTTGGCCCTTGGACTTCTGTTGGAACTTCCTGCGCTCCCGCTTTGTCTGGTGCACGTCATCGTCTTCACTGGAGGATGCCTCCTCACTGCTGGCCTCTTCATGATGCACCGGAACTGGCTCCCTAGCAAGACGCGGGCTGCTGGACTTGCGGATCTCCTGGGCGGAGCGTTCAGCAGCTTCTGAGGCCACAGCCTCCTCAATGGCTTTCTGTAGCGTGAGGTCTGGCTTGGCTAGGAGGCGCCGTTGCAGATGGATGTCCCGGACCCCGCAGACGATTCGATCCATCAGGGCATCGTCTAAGTCTCGGAACTCACAGTGCATTGCAGCCTGTCGCAGGGCGGTGGTGTAGTTGTTGATTGACTCCCCCTCTGCCTGGTTCCGGTGGTAGAACGCATGGCGGGCAGCAATCTTGGACGGCTTTGGTGCGTAGTGGTTGCGGAGCTTCTCTTGGATCGTGTCCCATGGTGTTGCCTGGACTGCTTCAGGCGCAACCAACGCTCGGGCCGTCTCAAACACCTCAGGCCCACAGAGGCTGAGGAATAGGCCCCGCTTCCGATCCTTTGATACTGCTGTCAGCTCGTTGGCTTGGAGGTAGCAGTCGAACCGAGCGAGGTAGGAGTCCCATGATTCAGAGGCTGGCGCAAACGGCGGTAGAGGCACAAGTGAAGCCATGATTCCGATGCCGGCGTGAAGGACGATGGATGGAACACAGTGCTCTAGCCAGAACAGTCAGCTCTGAATTGGTTCTGCCCAGTGATTTCGCTCAGTGATTTCGCTCTGTGATTCAGCTCAGTGATTCAGCTCAGTTCAGAGGCTGGCCGCATCTGGCTGTGCTCTGATGTCCATCCATCCCACCCTCGTCGCCAGTGTTAAGTCGTGGGTTGACATAGCAGCCGGCACAGCGATTTCTTCAAGTAGCTCTTTATTCTGGTAAGCTGGAATAGAACTGACTGCGAACAGCTCAGCCGGCCTGTATTTATAGGCAGCCGGCTGTCAACATTGTAACCAC